AAGCATTGAACCTGACACCCTGGTGGGTGCGTGTCCCTGTGTGTGTCTGGGGAGCGGTAGTGTAGCGGTTAGCGCGCTGCGCTATGAACCTGGCGACCCGGGTTCGATTTCCGCTCACGGCTAACACCAGTGATGATTATCTGAACCGATCCTGGGCCTCCCCTAGGTCGACTCAGCCTTAAATGAGTACCTGGTGCGATGTGTAAACATCGCCACTGGGGAGACAAAGGCGGCCGGGCGTGGTGCTGGTCACCCACCCCCTCGTGTACCGTTCCGGCCTTCATAGGTTCTCGCTAACAGCACTTGCCCCCACAGTCTGCCCAGGCTATACGGGGGATCTTTGTCTTTGGACCTCGCTAACAGCACTTGCCCCCACAGTCTGCCCAGGCTATACGGGGGATCTTTGTCCTTTGGACCTCGCTAACAGCACTTGCCCCCACAGTCTGCCCAGGCTATGCGGGGGATCTTTGTCCTTTGGACCTCGCTAACAGCACTTGCCCCCACAATCTGCCCAGGCTATACGGGGGATCTTTGTCTTTGGACCTCGCTAACAGCACTTGCCCCCACAGTCTGCCCAGGCTATGCGGGGGATCTTTGTCCTTTGGACCTCGCTAACAGCACTTGCCCCCACAGTCTGCCCAGGCTATGCGGGGGATCTTTGTCTTTGGACCTCGCTAACAGCACTTGCCCCCACAGTCGGCCCAGGCTATACGGGGGATCTTTGTCTTTGGACCTCGCTAACAGCACTTGCCCCCACAGTCTGCCCAGGCTATATGGGGGATCTTTGTCCTTTGGACCTCGCTAACAGCACTTTCCCCCACAGTCTGCCCAGGCTATGCGGGGGATCTTTGTCTTTGGACCTCGCTAACAGCACTTGCCCCCACAGTCTGCCCAGGCTATGCGGGGGATCTTTGTCCTTTGGACCTCGCTAACAGCACTTGCCCCCACAGTCTGCCCAGGCTATGCGGGGGATCTTTGTCTTTGGACCTCGCTAACAGCACTTGCCCCCACAGTCGGCCCAGGCTATACGGGGGATCTTTGTCTTTGGACCTCGCTAACAGCACTTGCCCCCACAGTCTGCCCAGGCTATATGGGGGATCTTTGTCCTTTGGACCTCGCTAACAGCACTTTCCCCCACAGTCTGCCCAGGCTATGCGGGGGATCTTTGTCTTTGGACCTCGCTAACAGCACTTGCCCCCACAGTCGGCCCAGGCTATATGGGGGATCTTTGTCCTTTGGACCTCGCTAACAGCACTTGCCCCCACAGTCTGCCCAGGCTATGCGGGGAATCTTTGTCTTTGGACCTCGCTAACAGCACTTGCCCCCACAGTCTACCCAGGCTATACGGGGGATCTTTGTCCTTTGTGTCGGGACCGCGAGAGCGTGCGCGCGAGTGTCGCCACCATGCGAAATCAGCCGTCGTAGCAGCAGCAGCCGCGGCAGCTGCTGCTGCTACGACAAACAAACGCAGTTGTCTGCTGCGTTTGTTTGCCGGGTGGAGGGAGCCCATCGGGGTAGAGAGAGAGAAAGGAAAGGAAAATCATGATGGTAGGATTGGTGGCAGAGGTCGCAAACGGGTTTTATTCCTTACCCGTACCCGGCCGCACCAGGGTCGCAAACGGGTACCCGTACCCTACCCGATACACGGCTACCCGTACCCGGCCGGGTATCGGGTAGGGTACGGGTACCCGATTGCGACCTCTGGGATGAAGCCATGTTGCAGGCGCGGGTGGGTTGATTCTAGGAACTTGAATTGTGAGAAGAGACAAGACGTTGGGAAATGAGTGACAAACGGTTACTCACCAGTGACTCACGGCCTACCCGTACCCGTACCCGGCCGCACCAGGGTCGCAAACGGGTACCCGTACCCGGCCGGGTACAGGTATCGGGTACCCGATTGCGACCTCTGATTGGTGGTGGTGGTTGACGCGCTGCGCTACGAACCCGGTGACCCGAGTTCGATTCGCGCTCACGATCAATAACAGGAGGCGAATATTTGAGCCGGTGATGGACCTCCCCTAGGTCGACTCGGCCTCAACATCACTACCTGGTGCGCGGTGTGGCGTAAGCGTCGTCACTCGGGAGACAAAGGCGGCCGGGCGTGGTGCTGGCCAGCCCCACCTTTTCGTCTGTCGTACGTTCATGGGTGCTGCTACTCGCTAACACACTTGCCCCAACAGTCTGTTGAGGCTATACGGTGGATCTTTGTCTTTGGATCTTGCTAACAGCACTTGCCCCAAGACTCTGTCAAGGCTACACGGGGGATCTTTGTCTTTGGGGGGCGGGGCAGGATAATAAATAAATGAATCTCGCGAGATCTCGAGTTGCGGTTTGTTTGACGGAGGGGGGAGGGAGGGAGGGGGGTGGAGGGAGGGGTGGAGGGAGAGAGGGTGGGTGGAGGGAGGGGGGTGGAGGGAGGGAGGGGGGGTGGAGGGAAGGAGGGGTGGAGGGAGGGCGGGGGGGTGGAGGGAGGGAGGGGGTGGAGGGAGGGGTGGAGGGAGGGCGGGGAGGAGGAGTGGAGGGAGGGGGTGGAGGGAGGGCGGGGGGGTGGAGGGAGGGAGGGGGTGGAGGGAGGTAGAGGGGGTTCTGTGATCACCGCGCGTGGCGGAGTCACCCCCCGCCCCGCCCCCCGTGAGAAGCTGGCATGGCCCCCCACACCCTGCACCTCTAATGGAGCCACGCCGGTGGTGGTGGGGGCGGTGATGGTGGGGGGGGCAAGGTGAGCAAATCACATTTTTTTTATTTATAAAATAGATGAAAGATTACGAATTCAAAAGCCATTCGCGAAGGGAGGGAACCCGTGCAATTCAAATGCGAGCGTTGAACATCCCCTGCTCGGGAGATGACCTCGTCCGGACACCAAGATACCGTGACGGTTTGCGACGTACGGTGCGAAAGAAGTTGGGCATAACGGGGCCTACCCTCTACTTACGAACATTCGACGTACGAACTTTCAGAGACACGAACAAACCTGCCCGCATGTCATGTCGACGCCACGTGAAGAACCAGTGGCGTCTACATCTGCAGAACACGAAGGACCAGTGGCGTCTACATTTGCAGAACACGAAGGACCAGTGGCGTCTACTTCGACAGATGATACAACTTTTTTAAAGCCGTTCCCCGCGCTTAGTGTACACGCCGTGCGCAACGTGTTTGGAATCGTCACGAGGAGACTTTCACTTACGAACAAATCGACTTACGAACGCGCGAAAGGAGAACATTCGAATCCGGCGTTTGTGCAACGGCGAACTCACAACGAACGGTGCCTGGAGCTGACCGGTGACCTTGTCTCCCTGCCACCCCCACCCCCCTCTCATTGTCACCTCCATCCCTTGCACCTCCCCTTCACCCCACGCAGGCAGAGCTGCGTCTGCTGGGAGCGCCGATGCCCAAGGGGGTCCCGGGATCGTGCGTGGACCCCGAGCGCGAATCGTGGCTGCGGTCGCTCTTCGTGCAGCGCGTGCGTTCCTACACGGGCACCCCCTACGCGCAGAGGCACCACCCGCCCGGCAGTGGGTACCCGCTCAGGCCAACCCGCACGCGCGCGTGTGTGTATGTGTGTGTGTATGTATGTGTGTGTTCATCTTCTTGGTTCTTTCGGTAAAGTCACGTAGAATGGAAATAATAAAATAATAAAAATACAACATTATAAAATAAAACAATAAAATAAGCGAGAATTATTTTATTATATTATAAGATTATTTTATTGTATTAAATTATTTTATTAAGTTTTATTTTTATTATTTTATTATTTCCATTCTACGTGACTTTACCGAAAGAACCAAGAAGATGAATCCCTGCAGTCACGAAAGCTTTAAATCGAAATTTATGTGTGTGTTGTCATCTCGGTCAGTCGACCCGTGGCACCTGCTGGGTCTGCCCCGTGACCTCCTGCCAGCGGGCGTTCGACACGTCACGTGGCCTCAAGGTGCACTTGGCCTGGCACAAGCGTCGTGGTGACGTCACCGCCACTTAGTGGCGAATGGCGGCGGTTGTTGTTGTGTTGTTATATGTATGTTTGTGTGTGTTTGTGTATGTGTGTGTGAGCGGTAGTGTAGCGGTGAGCGCGCTCCGCTACAAACCTGGTACCTGGTGCAGTATGTAAACATCGCCACTAGGGAGACAAAGGCGGTCGGTCGTGGTGCTGGCCGGGGTATATTGTATGCGATCTAACCCAAAAAGCCTCTAATGGAGCAAGTGTATAATCTATTTCAATTTATAGCGCCACACCCTGCTAGATGTTGTGAGCCGCGTGGCTGGGAAGGGTCTCGAGTCAAACGTGCACTCACTGATTCTGCACGTATTGGTGTGTATATAGAATTATACATACTGTGTATATATGTGTGTATATATATAACACATTCCTGCGGAGGGAGCTGGTAGGAACGTTGGGTTGCTCGGTCAATGGCCAGGGTCAACGGTGGCGTGGTGTATTCCGCAAATATGGCCGACTGTGAGGGCGGGCACAAGCCGGCGTGAGTAGGTTAAACGTTGAGTTTTATAAGGGCACCATGGGGTGACCAGCCCCTCCCCACCCAGCCCCACCCTCCCCACCCAGCCCCTCCCCTCCCCTCCCCACCCAGCCCCTCCCCTCTCCACCCTCCCCTCCCCACCTAGCCCCTCCCTCCCCACCCAGCCCCTCATCTGCACGACGGACACAATAATCCCCTGTGGGCTTGTGTAAGCAGGAGGTTCCTACCAGTATAGTGCCAGTGTAATTTCACGCACGCGTCCGTGCTAAAAGAAACAGCTCTCCCAAGATTCTCGCGCACAATTTGGCTCGAAAGCATTCGACGTAAGCCGCCGTCCCGGAGTGTTTGGGACCTTCCCTCTCGAAGTTTCGCGTCTCTCGGCATCTCCATTTTTGCCACGTCTCTCTGTCCTCACTTAAACTGGCCCGACCCGCCGAAAAGCCCTCCTCGAGTGCCGCTCGCTGCCCCCGCGCCCCTCCGTACCACTCCAGGTCCCGAGTTCGAGTCGCCGCTCTTCCTCGACTGCTGCGGGCTGGTGCGGAGGGCGCTGATGGACCTTCGCGCCGAGCTGGGCTTCTCGGTGGGGCCGTGGAACCAGTCGTACCTGTACGACACGCTGCCCCTCGACGTGAGCGGCGCCGCCGACATGCAGCCCGGGGACCTCGTCTTCACCACCGCCACCTACTTCGACCCCAAGGGTACGGGGGTGGCGGGTCTAGCGGACCCGGGACTAGGGGGGACAGTCTGCTGAGGCTCCATGGGGGGGGGGGATCTTTGACCTTTGTGCGCGCGCGCGTGTTGAAATTCACTGGATCAGCGTGTGCGGATGTTTGTTTGGCGGTCAGCGCTGCGCTGCGCGAAACGAACCCGGCGACCCGAGTTCGATTCCCGCTCGAGGCCAACACCGGTGACGATTATCCGAACTGGTCCTGGGCCTCCCCTAAGTCGACTCAGCCTCGAATGAGTACCTGGGTGCGGTGTGTAAACTACGCTACTGGGGAGACAAAGGCGGCCGGACGTGGCTGCTGGCGCACCCACCCCCTCGCGCGCGCCGTGCCGGCCTTCACAGGTGCTCGCTAACAGCACTTGCCCCCAACAGTCTGTTGAGGCTACACGGGGGATCTTTGTCTTTGTGCGTGTGCAGCCAAGCGGCACCCGCACGGCGTGGTGCACGTGGAGGTGTGGGCGGGCGACGGCGAGCGGACGGTGGCTGCCCGCTGGCGCCGCGGCCGCGTGCAGGAGTTCCCCTCCTACCGCTTCGACTCGGCGGCGTACGGCGATGCGCGCTATCACTTCCGCTCCATCAGCACGTGGCTGCAGGGAGTGTGCGTCAGGTGCGCGTCACAAGGGGGGGGGGGAGGCGGCTACCCCCTCCCCTACCAGCCATCCCCACCGAATTGTTTGTGTTGGTGGGGGTGGGCTAATGTGTTCGCTGTCGACCACTTATCTGTGCTGCCGACCTGATTACACACACACGCACATCCCGTGCCCTTATACATCTCGACGTGCATCATACAACGTCCCATCACAAGGGAGAAACACAAACAAATGGGCAATCGCCACTAGTACACTCACCACTAGTACACTCACCACTACACTCACCACTACACTCACCACTAGTACACTCACCACTACACTCACAACTAGTACACTCACTAGTACACTCACCACTAGTACACTCACCACTAGTACACTCACCACTACACTCACAACTAGTACACTCACTACTACACCCACCACTAGTACACTCACTAGTACACTCACCACTACACTCACTGCTACACTCACTACTAGTACACTCACCACTACACTCACCACTACACTCACTACTAATACACTCACCACTACACTCACCACTAGTACACTCACCACTAGTACACTCACCACTAGCACACTCACCACTAGTACACTCACCACTAGTACACTCACCACTACACTCACCACTAGTACACTCACTACTCGTAGTCGGAGACTTGCACCGGACACACCGTGGGACCCGGAGAATTAGTAAGGTTTGTCACGTGAACAGAACGTGCCAATTCGTCACTAGTGTAGAGGTGTTACATAACGGGGAGAAACGGGCAGTTACACTGGGGTGTCTACATCCACGTCCGCAACGGTTACCACCCTGGGGGGCTGTGTGGAGGAGAGGCTCGATCCCACACAGAGAGCTCGTGGCAGTCGTTGGGTACAGATCAAGATGAAGAGCCAGTGAAGACTGAAGGCCACAGCTAGCTAGACCTGGAACTCCTCTGACTCGCTGTTCTTGTAAGAGCCGAGCAGGGCAAGCCAGTGGGCGACCTCAGAGCAGTGAGGTCCGATGTCCTTGTAAGGGCCAGACTCGTGTGGCTGAGGGTCGGAATCTGCGCCGAAGCTGGGCCAGGTTAGCTAGCCTACATTTGGGGAAGGTCTGGGATAGAGGGAAGTAGGGAGTTAACGGGGAGCGTTAGCTGGGGAACACTTCCTGTAATAGACCGGGTGAAGAGGCCGATACTTCTTCAAGTGTTAGAGTCGTTACTCTGTTGTACTGAATTTAATTGTAATAAATACGTGTTGCCTCCATCAACTTATCCTACGTCACGTACACCCGTTACACTAGGACAGCACACCGGTGTGTTGGAGAGCCAAGCCACGACATTTACCATCTGAGTACGACGTTTCGCCGGTAATTACAACTAGCTTCATCAGGCAGCAGCCAGATGTATGGAGAAATCCTCCCGTTTCGTTCCTTAAATAGATAGATATGATGACGTCACTTGTGTGCCCTTTTTGCGCGAAGTGGGGGGCGATTCATGAATGCATATAAATGACAAACCAGTGTCGTCGTTGTTGTTTGTTTGTGCCGTTGGTCTTGCAGCCACTGCAGCGAGCACGCGTGGGGTCGCTGCCGCCGAGACTTTCCCGGCCCCAAGTCGATCTTCTGTCCAGACGACGGCGCGGAGCACGAGGACGTGGACCACGTGGCCCAGACAGGGCCACAACAAAAACAACATCAACAACAACATCGCGGGGTCGAGAATTCACCACCGCCACCACCGTCGCATGACCAGTGGCTCGTCACGACGAAACCAGCGGACTCTCCGCCGCACGGCAACAACAACAACGACAACGACAACAACAACAACAACGACAACGACGACAACGACAACGACGAGGAGAAGGAATCCTCCTCCAGCTTCCAGCATTCTTCCTCCGCTCTGCTGCCGCTCCAGGAAATCTCCGCGGAGAAGCAGCAGACGTTGGTGGGGTCCTCGCGGGAGAGACGGCGGCGGCATCGGCGGGCATCAACCTGCGAGTCGTCCGCGGCACCGGCGCCCGTTCGGCGTGCCGCTGCCGGTGAAGGCGGCGGCGGCAACGACGTCGACGGTGGCGGCAGCGGCAGAGAATCGTCGACGCGGAGCCGGCGGGACGCGCGGGGGGTCCGCGCGGGCCGGCGAACGTGGGAGGTGGTGGCGGCCGTGGCGGCGGTGGGCGGAGGGTCGCGGGCGGCAGAGGAGGAGGGCTGAGACGCCGGGGTGGCCGCAGAGGGCCGCGAAGGCCCCAGGGGGCGGCCGCACGGGGCTCCCAGGTGACGAGTTCGGATTGGCCACGGTCACGCTGGCTATGGCGTTGACGCTCGAGGCGATCGTCGTTCTGCTCTTCGTCGTTTTGTGACCACGGGCCGCGTGGCCTGAGGGTCGATCGTGGTCGCGACGCGCAGGAGCGGCGGTTTCGAGACGGGCCGTCGAGCGGTGCGCGACGGCCATCGGTTCGGTCCTCGCATCCGCGCGGCGTTGTGACGTCACCGCCTAACGCGACCGTGGCTTTCTTTATTGAGTCGGCGGTGTGAGCGACGCCACGTGCGCGACATCACGTGGCGGCGCAAGGCGGGATGGGAGGACCGGTCCCGCGGCCACACACACCGCGCCTCTTGCTGCACAGTCACCACCTTTTCTCCCCTATCCCCCCCCCGCACCTCCGATTAGCACGGTTGGCGATGTACGGTGCGAAAGAAGTTGAACGTACTTATATGTACGTAGGCCAAAACGTGGACATGTTTCCCAGCCAGAATCTGGTATATTATATATCGGCACTCTGCAATGAAACTGCAATCAAGTTCAATGCAGTACCGGCACCAAATGAATCCCTGCCGCCACAAAAATACGGACGCCTATTCCTGGGCTGTCCACATGGTTGGCTACGTACGGTGGGAAAGAAATTCAACATACATACAAACCCACGCCATACCCAGGTAAAAACCCAGAAGGGTGGCAACCTACCTATGAGTCAGTTTTTGCATCGTTGTATTATTGTTATATTACTCGTGTTCGTATCCAGCCTACATGCACTTTTCTGTCTGATGAGCTTCCAATCAATTTTACAGAAAAATTATTCAGAATCGATAGTTTCTTGGTTATTTGAGCTGCGTGATGTGGCTCGGCTTGATAAAGAGGGCGAGAGAGAGAGATGCATTGTTCTCGTTGGTGAGATCCTGACGTCACAGACAACAATGGCGCGCCACGTGGAACTCGCGTCGATGAATCTAAGCGCCCTTTTAGGCGAGTCGGCGGGTTCGGTCGATGTTGCACAGCAGCACGGCTACCGGTTGGTTATACTGAGAGTTCTTAGCCTGGCCAGCATCCACCACACAGCGCCATCTTCACCGTCAACATCGTAATTATCATAATTATCATAAGAATCATAACCATCATGACCATCGTAATCATCACTATCATAACCATCACCATCGTAATCATCACTATCATAACCATCACCATCATCATCATGACCATCGTAATCATCACCATCAATCGTCATCCGTCCAGCGTCAACTCGTGAGGCCGTACTGTTTGTGAGAATTCACCGGCAGTTGTGGGCACGTGTGCGGCGAGGTTACCACCGGAGGCCGAGTGTGCGAGCTGTCTGAGTAACATTTAAGCGACCCATTGTAGATCCAAAAGTTGAAAAGAGTCAAACGCTAAAATAATCATAATAACAATGTCATCCGCTCGACGACGAGCGGAATCTCGCTATTACACGCGCTACGTGCTGACGTCCGTAGTACGTTTGTAAAATTTCAATAAACGTAAAGAAACCCACGCTGGCTCCTGTTTTTAATTCGCAGTGCTTTTCACGTTTGGATCTACAATGATATTCGTTCATGTGTAAATAGTTAAATTGTGAAAAAAATTCTTATTTTTGTATTTGTTTCAGACTTATTTCCTCGTACACAACATAACAACAGTCGTGCTTTTTATCAGTCACTATATTGACAATGACAAAAAGGTCCCATAGATGTAACCGCTTAACCCTAGCCATTAATCCTATGGCGATGGCATTGTCCTTGTACTGTTCGCCGTTTGGCGGCCTTTGCTTTCTAGTGCCGGTGAGACAGAGCCAATCGGTTTCACGGACAATGCGGAAATTATCAAAGCATAATTGTTTTTTACCATAATTATCTGTGGTTCATGCAGACTTTGATACATTGTAATATGTGTCAATTTGGATGTTTGAACATCTTAACACCTCCCGTATTTATGCCAGAAAGGTAAAGCCTCACCATCAGCCATGGTCAAACCGCTGCTGGATGAAGGCCTCCCCTAAGACACCGCCTCCTATCACGATCCTGCGATGTTTTAATCCAACTGAGCACCTGGACACGAACTGATTTCATCGCTCCATCTCTTCGGTGGACGTTATCTCTCGGCTGCCCACTCCATTTTATATTATTGACCATCGGTCATCATCCCTCCCAGCGACGAGTCCCCCCCAAGCCCCTCGTGCCCCCCACCACCCACCCCCTCTCCAGGTTACTAAAGCCATGGCCAGAGACAAGGATCACCTCTAGCCATGCCTCTAGCCAACGTGGCGTTAGTACAGTAAAACCTTGGATTGCGAGCATAATTCGTTCCAGAAACGTGTTTGTAATCCAAAGCACTCGTATATCAAAGCACTCGTATATCAGTTGTGATCACGTGATGCTCTGCAGACAAAGCGTATACATGTACTACTTGTATTGCAAGACCTCGCTCGTTTATCAAATTAATATTTATTTTAAAAAATTGCTGGTCTTGCAAAACACTCGCAGACTAAGTTACTCCCAATCCAAAGTTTTCCTGTAATGGCATTCGCTTCCCACGTTGTTCCACGTTGTCGAGAATTTTGGCTGCTATAAAATTCCACACGAAGAGCACTGAGCTATCGTTTGTGATGGCCAGGTCGCTTCTGAAAAAGAGCGACATATCTCAGTGGGCCTTATCTGGTAAAATAAAAAAGATATTTTTCTAGTGTAATGGTGTTTTGTGTTAGTAAGGTTTTTTTAGTTTCGCGTGGCACTTACATTCCACGCGTGCAGTTAACATTTCTCCTGCACGGTATCCATACCGCAGTCTGTGCCATCCGTGAAAAGATTTTGCGGCCCAGGAGTTCAGAACCCCTGGATTAGCGTGTGCACGTGTTTGTATGTGTTTGTATGTCTGGTGGAGAGCGGTAGTGTAGCGGTTAGCGCTGCGCCACGTTACGAGCCCGTCGACCCGAGTTCGATTCCCGTTCACGGCCAGCACCAGTGATGATTATCTGAACTGATCCTGCGCCTTTCCTGGGTCGACTCAGCCTCAAATGAATGTCTGGTGAGGGGTGTAAACATCGCCTCTAAGGAGACAAAGGCAGCCAGGCGTGGTGCTGTCCACCCACCCCCTCGTGTGCCAATGCCGGCCTTAATAGGTGCTCGCTAACAGCACTTGCCCCAAGAGTCTGCTACTGCATTTATGCTGAACTTATTTCGCATCGGACATAGCCAACCATGCTAATTGGAGGTTCATAAGCTCTCCGGAGCCACGGGCCTTTGTCTTTGTTGTATGTCTGGTAAGTGTTTGGACATGATCAGGGCATAAGAGTTGGTGGCAGGTGAGTAGCTCAGGCCATGATGCACGAGGGCAATTTGATGGCAATCGTCGCCGACAATCTTCCTTGTTCACCCAAATCTGAAGAATCCTCATTCAAGCTGCCCTCTAGTGCTGCCCCCTAGTGGACAACGGGGGAGGTAACTTCCAATCAGGTCGGAGATGGAGCGCACGTGACTGCGCTGCCTGACGACGTCACTCCTTTCTGCACCTGAAAAAAATGGCTGCTTCAAAATCCATTCATGAGTGGGATCTGGACAAACGCAACAGAAGACATTCTGATTGATTTTCTAATAATTAATATGTTGTATTGTATTGAGTGGTGACTGGCTAACTGGCTGGTAATAATGGCCTGCATAAAGGAATGGCTGTTACCTAGTCACTTGTACTAGACCTACCCCACCCCTAATCTCCTAGCAACTAGTACTAGGCCTACCCACCCCTAATCACTTAGCAACTAGTACTAGGCCTACCCATCCCTAATCACCTAGCAACTAGGCCTTCCCCACCCCTAATCACCTAGCAACTGGTACTAGGCCTGCCCCACTCCTAATCACCTAGCAACTAGTACTAGGCCTACCCATCCCTAATCACCTAGCAACTAGTACTAGGCTTACTCCATCCCTAATCGCTTAGCAACTAGTACTAGGCCTATCCTATCCCGAATTACTTGGTTCATATACAACCTGTAGACCAATCGTTGGTCAGCATACATACACACTTTTCATCCATGTTTACTTTGATTGCCCAGAGAGAATTCTGTCTCTCCATTCCGTTAACCCACCCAAGTCACCATCGGCGCTCGTGGTCGATGCATTGCCGGTGATGATTGCCGGCATTGATTGCACCTGGAATCGTCCGAGCAGACCGAGGCCTCATAGGCTGCTTCCTGTGTAAGCTGTCTGGTGGCGTGCGCACGTGAGCATGCGAAGTGACGGAGCGCGCAAAAGAAATAAGAGTGCGCGCGCAGTGTTTTGTTGTCAGGTTGAAAATGTTCCCCTCGGGGAGCCGATTAGTGCGATGACGACGCTTGGTTTGTGGCCGTTAAGGAGTGCGAAACGACATCTTCAGAAGCGGTCGCTTTTACGCTCCTCCACTGGCATGACCACAACAGAGCCAGCACGGGGACCCTCAAGGTCCGGGCGATTTTCCACTTGCTATTTGTCATACTGAGCCAGAACCAAACCATGATACTCTCGCCTAACAAGACGACTTAATCTGGCTCGGGGGCCAAGCAGGGCCAGCAGCGGGCCTAATGACTTGTTCGCTTTGTTTGTCATCAGTCAGTACGCCGTGAGGACACGGCATCGCCGCGTCCCGACTCGTTCAATTGCGAGCGGCTTCTGCAGTGGAAAAAACAAACCGACACCTCCTGAGCCGCGCCAGGCTGCCTCGGAAGGCTGCCGCGGCGTTGCCTGCCCTGGCGCAGCTCGGTTGTTAAATGGAAAAAAAGAGATCTTCGACGCCTGTGCAGTTGTGCATCCGTATTGTAAGGCCGCCCGCGTGTGTCTGTGCGTCGCACGGGATCAGGTGGCGCCGTGGTCGACGCTCGTCGCGTGGCGGAGGTCGGCGCCCACGACGGGGGCTCGCTGGGAGGCGGCCCTTGTGGGGAGGGGCCTACGGGGGGGCCGGTACACCCTGGGGCACGGGGGGGCCCGCGGGGAGGAGAGAAGAGGCTTCGGCGAGCAGCGGGGGACGGAATTCTTCTTGCAGGAGGAGGAGGCCGTGGGGGAGAGGGGACTCTTGGAGGAGAGGGCACTCCTGGAGAACATGGGACTGATCAAGCAGGAGAGGGGGAGAAACAGGGAGACAACGAAGGGGCTCAAGGAGGGAAGGGGACCCGCCAGGGTGGCGAAGGAGGAGGTCAGGGGGGGAAGGGAGGGAGTCAGGGAGGAGGAAAGGGGGGGCGTCAGGGAGGCGAGGGGGGCCGCCCTGGTCGCCTGGGAGAGACGCGGAGCTCCGGACCCTTCTTCTACATTGGAGGGAACAACGGAGCGGCCTTGTGAGCACGTGGCACTTCCGTTACCACGGATACTGGCCCTGACCTGAGCACTCGTATTAGTCATGCTGATAACTCTAAGCCTAACCCCGATGCTCTTTCTAATCTGGCCCTAACACTCTTAACCCTGACCATGAGTGAACCCCTAACGCCTGCTGCCCCGACCTAGAGTTGCCAACTTTTCCACTGCTAACACCAATCCGGGCATATGTCGCACCTCCGATTAACACGGTCGGCTACGTACGGTGCGAAAGAAGCTCAAAATACATACATCTCTCAGTCAGCACTAGGTCTGCGATTACTGTGCAGTAAAATGTAACAAAGTTCAACACAGCAGCACCGGTGTCAGCTCTCGGTACAAGTCTATCCCTGCTGCCACCCGAACGTAATTGCCGATTACTGGACTGTAGCAGGTCAAACCTGAACAGTTGGCAACGCAATCCTCACCTTCACCCGAGTCCTAACCTCACGCTGTCCCCTAATTCGAACTTAAGTCTATAGCATGAATCGAGCGAGCCACTCGCCTAGGAGAGCTAAGCCTGACGTGATGAGCACCCAGTGAGAACCTCCCCTAGGTAGACTCAGCCTGAAGTGGTGAGGGTGTGTGTGCGTGGGGGAGTGTGGGGAACGGTGTTTCAGTGGTTAGCGCGTTGCATTCAGTGCCGGATTCTCCTAGTAGCAAAAGTTGCTACATATGTTACGGGCCTCGCACGTTCAAGGGGCCCGTGCTAAATGCGTTCAAGCTATCAATTCCGGTTCAGTGATTCTGCACTTGCTCTATTACTACAGTACTATACTGCCTTCAACTTTTATGAACGACTGGCTATTTAAGGTTAGCGATTTGTCGTATTATCTGGCTGTATTGCAAATGAAAAAATACAATTACTTATTATGCAAGTTAAACATTAGAGTTTTAATATTTATGTTTTTTTTTATATTTAGGGCCCCTTTATAACATTAGCTACAGGTCCCGCACTAGCTTAATTCGGCACTGGTTGCACTACAAACCCGGCGACCTGAATTTGAATACCCGCTCACGGCCAATAACAGTGGAAAATATTTGAACCTGGCCCTTAAATGAATACCTGGTGCGGTGTGTAAACATAAGCGTGGTGCTGGCCACCCGTCCCCTCATGCGCCACCAGCCTTCGTGGGTGCCGCTCGCTAACAGCACTTGCCGCAATAGGCTGGTAAAGGCCACACGGAAGAGCCTTTGTCTTTGTGTGGGTGGGGCAGGGTGAACGAGTACTGCTTGAGGCGAGGCTGGGAGAGGACGTCGGACCGCACGAGGGAGGACTACCGCCTCAAGTGGTGCGAGCTCAAGTCCCGCTCCGCATACACGGCCTTCCGCGAAGGTGCGATGCCACGCTCACTCCACGCCACGTCACACCACGCCCCACCGCGTCACATTACTCTGCGTCACAATACTCTTCACCGCGTCACAGCACTCCGTACCACGTCACACTACTCTGCGTCACAGCACTCCGTACCACGTCACACCACGCCATACCGCGAAACACCACTCTGTGTCACAATACTCCACACCGCGTCACACCACCCCGTACCATGCCACAAAACTCCGCACAACTCCGGACCAGTATACGGTAAGTCCTCGTTTAACCTGATAGGTTCGTTCCTGAAAAGTGCCGCGTTAAGGGGGGAAAAAGCGTGAAGCGAAAAAGTTTCCCCCACAATGTAACGATAACGTGTGGCGAAACACGACGTACGCACACCACAGACGGCGAAACAAATAACTGAGGTTACACCGCCGCATTACTGTATCATTCCGCCTACTGTATTGAACCGTTCAGCCACGCAGCTCAAGAAAATAGTTCGTCGTCGACCGCTCAGAAACCGCGTTATAACGGGGTGTGCATTTCGCGTTATAACGGCGCGCGTTCCACGTTGTGTGAAAAAGTGTTCCCTCATGGAAGAACCGCGTTGTAGCGAAAACGAGTTAACGTGCGAACACCGCACGTTAAGCGAGGACTCTCCATGCAGTAGAACGACGGACTGTGCTGCACTGCCCTCTGCAAGGTGTGTGCGTGACGTGAAGCCGCGTGGCGTCGCGCTGTATCATCACGCTGTATCGTTGCGCCCACAGGGCAGCAGCTGCTCTACCAAATCCAGAACAACAAGGTGCTCACCAGCAAGATCGGCCTCCTGTGCAGCCTGCGCGACTACGAGCGCATCATCAGCAAGCTGCGAGTCACCTCCCAGCCCAGGTGAGCCCACTCGCGTGGGTCTTTGTGAGGTCCGTGTGAGGCCACAGGAAAATTTTGTGAGTCCGTGTGAAGTCCATGTGAGGTCCATATGAGGCAATGCGAGATCCATGTGATTGGTTGGTTTATTAATTGATTGGTGATTGGTTGATTGACTGTTTGCTTGGTTTATTAGTTTATTGATGACTTGGTCGATTGTTTTGTGATTGATTAATTGGTTGCTCAATTAGTTGACTGGTTGGTTGCTGATTGGTCTGGCGACTGGTCTGGCGATTGGCAGGATGCTCAAGATGGAGGACTTCTTCCCGCACACGCTGCGCCTCGACGTGCGTGGGGAGAGGGACGAGTTTTTCGACTCCTACCAGGGTGAGCGCAGCGCTGCGTCGCGTTTCGAAGCCCGAGCTGCTCGTCAAAAATCTGATGATCTATGAAGCTCTTTTTCACAAATGTCCAGATGTCAAAATCGTGTCTGACAGAGGAGCGCAGGTCACGGCGCATGAGGACCTCAAACGCTTAGCAGGAGAGGCATTTGCTGAAAGAGTGCTTTGTGAATTTAGGGGAGTGATTTGAATCGTGCAGCACAGAGCTCAGTTGGAACCTAGGGCAGCGGGGCCCGGTAAAGTCGGGGAGATTTCTGTCCCGACGTGGTCAGGCCGGTGCATCGCAACCGGTCCGACGAAGCGGCCGGCCGAAACGGATGGTGCCGTGCCATGCCGGAGGCGGTCGACGTGCGGTCGACGTCGTCCGCTCCTCGCCCCCGTGGGAACGAAAGCCAGGTGCGGCACCGCCAGCAGGTAGAGGTCGACCCACGGGGAGCCGCATCTCCCGGCGGGGCTCGCGCGGCTCGTACAAACCGCCCGCTCTCATCTACCCCTCCACCGGTATGCGGGGCGAGCAGAGGGGGAGAAGTGGATCTGCAAGCCGACGGGCCTCAACCAGGGCCGCGGGATCTTCCTGTTGCGCTCGGCAGGCGACGTGGCGGCGCTCCGCGAGCGGCTGCTCCTCGACGCCGACGTGGGGCCCCGCACGCCGCGCGCCCACGTGCCGCAGGCCCGCATCGTGCAGAGGTGAGCGCTCGCTCGCTCGCCTCACCACTCACACCCATTGCGAGCTCACACACCACAAAGACATGAGAGGAGTCGGTCAAACGCGCAGCTCGGTCGACTTGAGAGTTGTCAGCGCACCGACAACCGGAATATGATGTCTCAGAACTACTTTGGAAGTCATTCTTCATTCACACTTCAAGTGACAGCCTCAGCAGAGTCAACTCAATGTCTCTGACATCTAACCCTAACCCGGCACCTCAGTGTTGTTCGCGGTTTGAATCCGGCAGGCCCCCCTGCTTAATACCGTTGGTTTTTCTTTAAGACATAAAATACCGCGCCTGCTTCGCGGTGGTCGTTAACAGTCCCACGACATCAATGTATGCACTGTCCTCATTATCAGAGTTATGTTTTTTGTTTGCATTATGACTGCAGGTATTGTGGTCTATGCAAACATGACTCCTCGTAAAAAAAGTGTCAGTTTTGTTGCCAGATAAAAGGGTAAAAAAACAATTATCATATTCTTTACTGGCAAATGAGGTACCAATGGTGTAAATCATTTGAAACGGTTAAAAGTTGCCAAAGTCGAGTGATTACACCGCAAGCCACTCAATTGGGATCTCACACCACACACACATACACAGAGGAGCATCGGCCTCGACTGTCGAACTACTGCAGACTGTGTCTATGAAACACAGCAGCGCCTTGCTCCATGATCTCCTCCTTTGGCAATCCCTCGCAGTCGCGGATGATGACCATCTTCCACCAGGGTCCGAAGATGGGCGATGAGGCCCATCCACAATCGACAGACTCGCGCTATGACAATGGCTCGAAAACCAAACGTACTAAACGATTACGTATGCACGTTGAATTTCTTTCCCATCGTACGTAGCCAACCGTGCTAATCGTAGGTGCGGGGGAAGGACAACAAACAAAACACAAAAAAACAGTATTAAAGCAGATTAATTATTAACGATGCATTATATTATTTTGTCGAACGTGCGTGGTGGTTGGGGGTTGGGGGTCGGTTTGCCGCCCGCAGGTACGTGACGAACCCGCTGCTGCTGGACGGGCGCAAGTTCGACGTGCGCTCCTACATGCTCATCGCCAGCGCAGGCACCGCCCATCGTCCTGTTCCGCCACGGGTACGCGCGGCTCAGCTGCCAGAGCTACAGCCCCGAGTCCAACGACCTCACGGCACACCTCACCAACCAGGTGAGCTCATGCACACACGACACGCGTATGCACGCACACACAGAGAGACAACGATTTTCCCCGCATGACCTTCACAAGGCTGTTGGGGGGAGTGCTGTTAGCAAGCGCCAATGAAGGGCAGCACGGCGCATCTATGCCGGGGGTGGGTGGCCAGCAATATATAATTTGTTTTTGGGATTAGACTCGGCGAGTAGACCTCCACTCTTGCTCGGTTGGCTTGGCCTCTCATTTGTAAAGCGTGACCCCTGACCCCCGGCCCCTGGCAGTACATGCAGAAGAAGAGCCCCGTGTACCAGGAGGTGAAGGAGGAGACTGTGTGGACCATGAGCCGCTTCAACGACCATGTCAACGAGCACTGCGCCCCACACAAGGGGCTGCCCAAGGACTGGGTCCTCACCACCTTCACTGTGAGGGCCCGGTGACAATCGCCCCACCACTCACCCTGACACTCGACCTGATGCTAGGCCTAACACTAGCCCTGGCACTAGGCCTGGCACTAGGCCTGACACTAGGCCTGGCACTAGGCCTGGCACTAGGCCTGACACTAGGCCTGACACTAGCCCTGGCACTAGCTCTGACACTAGCCCTGACACTAGGCCTGACACTAGCCCTGGCACTAGGCCTGACACTAGGCCTAACACTAAGCTTGACACTAGCTCTGACACTAGCCCTGACACTAGCCCTGACACTAGGCCTGACACTAGGCCTAACACTAGGCCTACCAATAGCCCTGACGTTAGGCCTAACACTAGGCCTGACACTAGGCTTGACACTAGCCCTGACACTACGCCTGACACTAGGCCTAACACTATGCCTAACACTAAGCTTGACACTAGGCCTGACACTAGCCCTGACACTAAGCTTGACACTAGGCCTGAACACTAGGCCTAACACTAGGCTTGACACTAGCCCTGAACTAGGCCTGGTATGGTTAATCTCACTCCAACCCCCCGTCCAACCCCGTGCCACAACAGAAGCGCATGCAGCAGGTGATGACCCACTGCTTCCTGGCCACCAAGTCCAAGCTGGAGGGAAAACTCGGCCTCTTCGACCTCATCGGCTGCGACTTCCTCATCGACGAGGACTTCAAGGTATTGTGGCCGGGCAGGGTGGCGGTGGGGTTGGTGGATCGCATATGCTCCGGGGATCCGCCACTTGTCTGCACAACGAGCTGATTTCATCGCTCCATCTCCGTGGGTGTGTTCTCTCCTTTGGCTGCTGCTACACCGTTAGTCTCAACCACCGGCCATCATCCCTTCTAGCGGTGCATTCTGCCTAAGCCCCCGCTCCTCCGTACACAATGCCACATAGGAGCATCACTGCCAAGGGGTAGAGCCATCAGCGAACGGACACGGGGCTGCCTGCCCTGTACCATAGGGTCGAACGGCAAAACATTACTATTGACGAGAACAGGTGGAGTTTGAACCGGTCCCAGGCTCTCTGGTTAGCCTTGGCAGCACACCAACCGCACCTCCGATTTCCACGGTTGGCTGCATAAGGTGCGAAAGAAGTTAAACATATGTACTGCTGTCCATTGCAACACGGTGCTCTAACGCAGACCTCTGCTCGACTTTCATTCCTTCCACCTCGACACTGCTGCCCCCCGCTACCCCTCCACCCCCAATTTTTTTCCCATCATACCCCCCCCCCTCCCGACCGGCAGGTGTGGCTGCTGGAGATGAACTGCAACCCCGCGCTGCAGACCAACTGCATGGTGCTCAAGGAGGTCATCCCGCAGGTGGTCAACGAGACCCTGGGTACGTGCACCTGCAGAGGCGGAAACGGCGCGTCGATGCGTTGCCGTTCGGCGTCGGTGTGCCAGCCGACTTAGGCGAGCGTCAGCTGACCGCGCGCGACGAGAATCCGATGGCGTTTTCATCGTCTGTCGCGCTTGATGCCCCCCGGGCGTGATTCTTGTTGCCGCTGGTGGCCGCGACGATCGCCGCGACGGGCAAAGAGGAATCGGTGCTTGATTTGAATCGCGAGCCGGATTGGGTTCATGCATCGTTACAAACGCTGATGAATAATTCCACCCCGAATTGCCATGATGTGATTTTTTTCATGATACGATATTGTGTACGTGTTCACGATATGGCGATTATCACGATGTCAGATTCCCATGCCTTTGTGATTGCAAAACGGACGATACGGTTATTGTGGACTTTTAATTAATAATGGTTAATTATTTAGTTTGTGTAGTATTTCATTCCACCATTCTTGTAGCGCAGGCTATCACCACGAATGAAGACGCTGCTGTGTTTCACAGATACAATCTGAAGTAGTTCCCAAAATTAGCAATTTATGGGTGATGTTTAAAATGTGAACATTGTCGACGTGTGCGGACTCGCTCTTGTCGCGTGCCCCTAGACCTGGCACTGGAGACGTTTGAGAAGGTGCGCCGAGGCCAGCGGGTCATGCCGCTGCAGACTCGCCGAGACTTCACGCTGCTCTACAACGGGGACCCCAGCGACCCACACTCACGCCCGAGCTGGCCGTCGTCAAGGCCCTACCTAAACCTCGGCCTGCTGGTGCCTCGCCAAAAACAGCAGCATCAGCAAAATCATCAGCAGCAGCAGCATCAACAGCAGCAGCAGCAGCGTCGTGCGACAAAATCAGCGGCACGAAACTTTGCGCTTCCCGAACCGCGCACACCGAAGCCGAGAATTCGCTACAACATCTCCATCGCAAAGGTGGCGGCACCTCCGCTGCAGAAGCTGAGTCTGAGACCTCAGGGAGTGGAGGATGACGATGATGAAGACAGGGAGGAGGACGACGAAGACGAAGCGGAGGAGAGAGGGGGCGGCACCTTGGGAGCCATTACGAGACGCGTGGGGTGCTCGAAGTCGGCACGTCGGCCGCTCAAGAGCGCCGCTGCGCCGCGACCCACACCGCCCGACCCCCGGCACCATCGCTGGGCGCTCACGCTGAGGTCCAGGGCGCCGGCGGCCTCGCTCTCGTCGTTGAGCGCGCGCGGCGGCGTCCGGTCAGTGGCTGCCCTCGCCGCCACCATCTCTGTCCTGACGACGTCGTTCCCGCACGAGGCCTCCGCCACTTGGAAGACGGCGTTGAGCCTCCCCGTGCGGAAGGCGGAGGAGGAGGCGGAGGAGGAAGAGGAGGAGCAGGAGGAGGAGGTCGACTCGCAGAAGCTCCCTCCGCTGCCATCGCCCGACGATGCCTCGCCGGGCACCACCGCGAAGAAGCAGCTGTCAGAGCGAGGGGCTTGACCTCGGGACTTCGCGACGATCGGGGAAGTGCGAACGGTCACCTTGGCGGCTTCCGAACCACCCTGGATCATCGCAGCCGCACGGTCTCTGCCGTGAGCCTTCCCGAGAAGCTGCAACTCGATTTAAAAAGAAAAAGTCTACGAATTTCTGTGTCCTGCAAATATTTTCCTTTTATATATAAGCCATGATTATTATTACAGTAGCCATATCAAGATCGTAGGTGCATGTGTGTGTTGGTGTCTTTGTTAGGGCTTTTCAAAGCAGCACTTTGCCCAACAGTCTTTTAAGCCTATACGGGGAGTCTTTATGTGTCGGGGTTAGGGTGCTCGCTAACAGCACTTGCCCCAATAGTCTGTTGAAAGCTATTCAGGGGAGCTTTGTGTTTAGGTGGGGGAGCGGCGGTGCAGTGGTTTGTGCACTGCGCTACGAACCCGGCGACCCACTTTCGATTCCCGCTTACAGCCATCAGTGATGAATATCTGAACCTGTCTTGAGCCTCCCCTAGGTCAACTCAGCCTTAATGAGTACCTGGTGTGATGTGTAAAAATAGCATTGGGGAGACAAATGTAACCGGGAATGGTGCTAGCCACCCTTTTGTGCTGTCCAGGCCTTCATAGGTGCTCCTTAACAGCACATGCCCCAACAGTCTATTTAGGTTATTATGGGGATCTTTGTGAAGGTGTATTGATGTGTTGATGTGGTGGTGCAGTGGTTTCCAATCTGCACTACAAACCCGGTGACCGGAGTTCGATTCGCGGCCATGGCTAACGTGGCGGTTGATACCTGAACCTATCCTGGGCCTCACCTAGGGCGACTCAGCCTCAAATGAGTACCTGGTGCTTCGTGTAAACAAAGGCGGATGGGTATGGTGCTATCTACACCACCGTCTCGTGCACCGTGCCAGCCTAAATAGGTGCTCGCTAACAGCACTTTCCCCAACAGTCTATGTTGGTTACACGTGGGAGCGTGGTGTGTTTGTTGGTGTGGGTGTGTGTGGATGTGTGGGTGTTACATTCGCAGGTGCTCGCTAACAGCACTTGTCCCAACGGCTAAAGTTGACTCTACGGGAGATCGTTTGTCTTTGTATATCCGCTCGAGTTGCAACTAATTACATTAACGGAGTAATTGACCAAAAAGTGTGGTCCTGGTCGAAAGTGAATGGGCTAATCGCCAATTGATATAATTATAACGGCAATAGTGCTTAATTTAGCGCGCGCGTGTGTGTGTATTGTTAATTTATTTCAATGAGGCCTGTTACTGGTAGGAACCTCCTGGTTACACCAGCTCACAGGGGATTATTGTGTCCGTCCGTCGTGCAGGGAGGGGCTGGGTGGGGAGGGAGGGGCTGGGTGGGGAGGGGAGGGGAGGGGAGGGTGGGAAGGGGCTGGGTGGGGAGGGTGGGGAGGGGCTGGGTGGGAAGGGGCTGGGTGGGGGGTAGGAGGAGTGGGCAGCTGGGTGGGGAGGGGCTGGTCACCCCGTGGTGCCCTTATAAAACTCAACGTTTAACCTACTCACGCCGGCTTGTGCCCGCCCTCACAGTCGGGCATATTTGCGGAATACACCACGCCGCCGTTGACCCTGGCCATTGACCGAGCAACCCGACGTTCATACCAGCTCCCTCCGTAGGAGGAATGGGTTTCAATTTGTCGGAGGCGGTGTTACGATGCGCAGGGTGCGATGCACGGGCGTTGCCAGACGGCACGGGGGTTGCTCGCCCGCGTCTGACATCGGTGGCCCCTGGGGACTGCAGCCTGAGCAGCAGGCAACTCACTCCGCCTCGCGTTGTTACAGCGTCGGGTGCTGACGCATGCAGGTGGATTCGCTGATAATGGAAACGCAAATGGTGGTGGTGGTGGTGCACCAGTGCTCGCTAACAGCACTTGCCCCAACAGTCTGTTAAGGCTATACGGGGGGTCTTTGTCTTTGGTGGTGCACCAGCATTGGGTCTCTATGTTAGTCTCCGTGTGGCTATGGATCTGTGGGTCTTTGTGTGAGTACATGGGTTTCGGTTTTAGCTTCGGTCTCTCTGTGATTCTATGGGTGTCTATGAGTCTCTGTGTGAGTCTATGGGTTTCTATGTGAGTCTATGGGTCTCTATGAGTCTATGTGTCCCTATGTGAGTCCTTCGGTTTCTGTGAGTCTATGGGTCTCTGTGCAAGTATATTCCGTCTTTATGTGAGTCTGTGGGTCTCATTATGAGTCTCTGGGTCTCGATGTGAGTCTGTAGGTCTCGATGTGAGTCTGTGGGTCTCGATGTGAGTCTGTGGGTCTCGATGTGAGTCTGTGGGTCTCTGGGTGATAAAGAACTGACGATGCCACTGCCAGCGCATTTCACTTTCCTCAGCGAGTCCACCCTGCACACGTCACGCACACCGAGACTTGAAGACCCCGTGGCTGGCATGGTGACCCTCCTCGTCCTGAAGCCACGGGTGGACCGCCGGCCTGGCCGGGCTCGTCTTTGCGTCCTCATGTTTCATCATAACGAGCCAAAGTTCGAAATACAGCAAACTCCGAGCACTCGCATCGCCGTTGATTTCATCTCCTCCATGAGCGGTCACTCGGAGGCAGCAATTGAGATCATCCGGAGTTTTGAGATGAGGGGTTTTAGGATGCCGCAGGAGAGAGAGTTGCAGTAATCAAGTTGAAGATGCAATGAAGGTCGGATAAGAAGCCAGATTTAAACACGTTCCATGATGGAGTGAGGCTCCTAACAATTTACGCTCCCCAGCGAGTCTACGGATTGTCGCTATTCGGCACACGTGATTTCACATGAAGGATTGATTCTTGCTTTAAAATGTTTTTACCGTCTCGTTTGTATTGTTTCTTGTGGGGTTTTTGTGTTGTTGTTCTGTCACGTTTATAAAATTGTGTTTGCTCCGTTAGCCAAAATGTAACAGAATATAATGTTGCACGAATCGTTCATAAACCTGGAGTGTGCCGCTGCTGCTGCTGTTGCCGTGGTGCGATGGTGACCGTGCTGGACTTGAAATGAAAGAGGCCGCCGGTTCTATCTCCTGGCGTGGCAGTTGAAACAAACGGTGCAAGTTTCGATTTAAAGCTTTCGTGACTGCAGGGATTCATATTCTTGTTTATTTCGGTAAAGTCACGTAGGGAAATAAAAAAATAAAAATAAAAAAATAAAACAAATATCACGACGTTTCGACTGCAACACAAGCAATCATCATCAGGTGCAAGCTTCCTCACTACCCTCCCACCTGCCTCTGCCCACCCGGCAATTAAATAAATAAATAATTCGTGCACCACGGCGAAGTCGTTCGGCAATGTCGAGGGTGGTGGGGTCAAAGTGTGGATACTCTCCACCTATTCCGAGAAGTCTGACCTGTGTGGAAGAGTAGGCCAAAGGAGGACTCTCTAGAGCTCCCTCTTGAGTGGTGGCCCCTTCCGCTAGCAGTGACGTGAGCAAGCAATTGCAGAGCTGCGCCTTTGCCTGGATTAATAGTGGATATTTACGTAATAATAATTATCATTATTATCTTCATTTTTAAGATGCATTTCATCCGTAGAACCCAATGCGTTCAAGATTGGAAAGTAGGAAAACAGAACCATGGTTAATGGCCAGAACTAGGGGGGTTAAAGGCCAGGTTTAAAGAGGTGAGTTTTCAAAGACAGACTTAAATATATCCAACGATTCTGAATGTCTTCATAGCAAAGGCAAAAGTTCCAAAGCGTGGGGGCTGCACTGGCAAAAATCCCAATCACCCCCGGGGAAATGACTCTTGACCTCGGAGTACTTCGAAGTGATTCGTTGATTGCCCTGTGCTGTGAGCGAATAATTGTGATCGTCATACCTCTTCGATTGGAAATGATGAAATCGTTTGTGTCATAACTCAGGTGAACGTGCCTCTTGTAATCCAAATGTTAATGCTGTAATCCGCGTGCCCAAAGTCATGAGCCGCGTTCGTGTGTCGCAATCCAGGTGTGTGTGTGTTATCACCCGGCTGAGATGCCTGTGTGATGTTATAAGCCAGGTCCTGTGGCAGATCTCCAAGCCGGACTAAATTGGGGTGGGTGTGGGGGGGGGGTGTTGGCGAGGATTTTTATTTGATTTTTCTAGCAACATTCATTTATAGCTCGGGATCAAAACGTGCACGTCAACTGTTAAGTTATTCACAACGGGCGGGGATAGCTCTCTGAAATTTCTTTTGAGATGAAAAAAACTCATTTTGAATGTCCTACAAGTGATTAGCGTTGAGCTACAAAAATACTACCGAGCGTTTTCTTTTATTTAAATGCGAATATTGCAACGTGGTGGCCAGCGGTTGGGCATGTGGTGGGATCTGTTGGTCAAACGGTGGCTCAACATCGGCTCAACATTGTCCCCAACTTTTCATGCTTACTGGGTTTTCCGACGTCGCCCAAAATTTGGCTTGCTCGAGTCCGGCTTGGGGAGTTTTGTTGTTGTTGTTGCTTAACATGTAGGGTTTCGCGACCAATATTATCCACAATAGAGGTTTTTTGGGGGGTGGGATCACGTAAAAATAAATGTATAATTGAAGCCGCTAATTATGTATTCTTAGGTTTTTTCGGTAAAAACCTAAGAATATGAATCCTTGCAGTCACTAAAGCTTCAAATCTAGAACCCGCTAATTATGGATGTCTCCTGATGATGCTGGTTGTTGTAATTATCGGCGAAACGTCACCGTTCTCGAATGGTAAACGTTGAAGTGGGTTTACTCTCCAACACATCGGTGTGCTGAACTGGTAACGAATTGGCACATTTAGTTTTTACGTGACAAACCTTACGAATTGGCTGTGTCGGGTGGTGGCGGGTTTGAAGGACACATTTATATTTACGCGATCTAATCCAAAATAACCCCTCTATTTTGGTAGTTGTTGTTGTTGCTGTACTAATCCAGGTGCTCGCGTTATGCCAGAGGTGCTTCCCGTGTGACCCCTGGTGCTTCTGTAGCAGTGTTGCTATGCGGGACAATTTATCAATGTAATAAGCTCGTTTTGCGTTTGCGAGATTAAATTAAAACTAAGCCAATTTGAGTGTTCCAAACTCACGTGTGTTTAATGTCGCGCGCGCGCGCGGGTCTAAAACGGTGGCGAATATCTTCTTGGTTCTTTCGGTAAAGTCACGTAGAAGGGAAATAATAAAATAATAAAAATTAAACATAATAAAATAATTCTCACGACGTTTCGGCCACAACGACAGACCTGGTCTTCACCTGAGGACGGCTGCTTGCGTTGTGGCCGAAACGTCGTGAGAATTATTTTATTATGTTGTATTTTTATTATTTTATTATTTCCCTTCTAAAGAGTATGAAGAACCAAAGAGTATGGATTCCTGCAGTCACGAAAACTTCAAATCAAGATTGACATGGAGATTTTGACATTTGAAACGGAGAGTTTGACACTTAAACGTTTTATTGACACAGAGACTTTAACATTTTAAGCAGAGACTTTCACATTTTACACGTTTCATTGACACAGAGACGTTGACACTTAAACACTTAACTGACACAGAGACTTTGACATTTTAAACACTTCACTGACATAGAGAGACTTTGACATTTTAAACACATTCCTGCGGAGGGAGCTGGTAGGAACGTTGGGTTGCTCGGTCAATGGCCAGGGTCAACGGCGGCGTGGTGTATTCCGCAAATATGCCCGACTGTGAGGGCGGGCACAAGCCGGCGTGAGTAGGTTAAACGTTGAGTTTTATAAGGGCACCACGGGGTGACCAGCCTCTCCCCACCCAGCCCCACCCCCCACCCAGTCCCACCCTCCCCACCCAGCCCCTCCCTACCCAGCCCCTCCCCACCCTTCCCTCCTCACCCAGCCCCCCTTTGATATTCACTGACACACAAAGACTTTGATTTTCACTGACACACAGAGACTTTGATATTCACTGGCACACAGAGACTTTGATATTCACTGGCACACAGAGACTTTGATATTCACTGACACACAGAGACTTTGATATTCACTGACACACAGAGACTTTGAAATTTACTGACACACAGAGACTTTGACATTCACTGTCACACAGAGACTTTGATATTCAGTGTCACACAGAGACTTTGATATTCACTGTCACACAGAGACTTTGATATTCACTGACACACAGAGACTTTGATATTCACTGTCACACAGAGACTTTGATATTCAGTGTCACACAGAGACTTTGATATTCAGTGTCACACAGAGACTTTGATATTCAGTGTCACACAGAGACTTTGATATTCACTGTCACACAGAGACTTTGATATTCAGTGTCACACAGAGACTTTGATATTCACTGTCACACAGAGACTTTGATATTCACTGTCACACAGAGACTTTGATATTCACTGTCACACAGAGACTTTGACATTCACTGTCACACAGAGACTTTGATATTCACTGTCACACAGAGACTTTGATATTCAGTGTCACACAGAGACTTTGATATTCACTGTCACACAGAGACTTTGACATTCACTGTCACACAGAGACTTTGATATTCACTGTCACACAAAGACTTTGATATTCACTGTCACACAGAGACTTTGACATTCACTGTCACACAGAGACTTTGATATTCACTGTCACACAAAGACTTTGATATTCACTGTCACACAGAGACTTTGATATTCACTGTCACACAAAGACTTTGATATTCAGTGACACAGAGACTTTGATATTCACTGACACACAGAGACTTTGATATCCACTGACACAGAGACTTTGATATTCACTGACACGCAGAGACTTTGATATTCACTGACACACAGAGACTTTGATATTCACTGACACGCAGAGACTTTGATATTCACTGACACACAGAGACTTTGATATTCACTGACACGCAGAGACTTTGATATTCACTGTTACACAGAGACTTTGATATTCACTGACACGCAGAGACTTTGATATTCACTGATACGCAGATACTTTGATATTCACTGTTACACAGAGACTTTGATATTCACTGACACGCAGATACTTTGATATTCACTGTTACACAGAGACTTTGATATTCACTGACACGCAGAGACTTTGATATTCACTGACACGCAGAGACTTTGATATTCACTGTTACACAGAGACTTTGATATTCACTGTTACACAGAGACTTTGATATTCACTGACACGCAGAGACTTTGATATTCACTGACACACAGATACTTTGATATTCACTGTTACACAGAGACTTTGATATTCACTGACACGCAGAGACTTTGATATTCACTGACACACAGAGACTTTGATATTCACTGACACGCAGAGACTTTGATATTCACTGACACACAGAGACTTTGATATTCACTGACACACATATACTTTGATATTCACTGACACGCAGAGACTTTGATATTCACTGACACGCAGAAACTTTGATATTCACTGACACACAGAGACTTTGATATTTACTGACACACAGAGACTTTGATATTCACTGACACACAGAGACTTTGATATTCACTGACACACAGATACTTTGATATTCACTGACACAGAGACTTTGATATTCAGTGACACGCAGAGACTTTGATATTCACTGACACACAGAGACTTTGATATTCAGTGACACAGAGACTTTGATATTCAGTGACACAGAGACTTTGATATTCACTGACACACAGAGACTTTGATATTCACTGACACAGAGACTTTGATATTCAGTGACACGCAGAGACTTTGATATTCACTGACACACAGAGACTTTGATATTCAGTGACACACAGAGACTGATATTCACTGACACACAAAGACTTTGATTTTCACTGACACACAGAGACTTTGATATTCACTGGCACACAGAGACTTTGATATTCACTGGCACACAGAGACTTTGATATTCACTGACACACAGAGACTTTGATATTCACTGACACACAGAGACTTTGAAATTTACTGACACACAGAGACTTTGACATTCACTGTCACACAGAGACTTTGATATTCAGTGTCACACAGAGACTTTGATATTCACTGTCACACAGAGACTTTGATATTCACTGACACACAGAGACTTTGATATTCACTGTCACACAGAGACTTTGATATTCAGTGTCACACAGAGACTTTGATATTCAGTGTCACACAGAGACTTTGATATTCAGTGTCACACAGAGACTTTGATATTCACTGTCACACAGAGACTTTGATATTCAGTGTCACACAGAGACTTTGATATTCACTGTCACACAGAGACTTTGATATTCACTGTCACACAGAGACTTTGATATTCACTGTCACACAGAGACTTTGACATTCACTGTCACACATAGACTTTGATATTCACTGTCACACAGAGACTTTGATATTCAGTGTCACACAGAGACTTTGATATTCACTGTCACACAGAGACTTTGACATTCACTGTCACACAGAGACTTTGATATTCACTGTCACACAAAGACTTTGATATTCACTGTCACACAGAGACTTTGACATTCACTGTCACACAGAGACTTTGATATTCACTGTCACACAAAGACTTTGATATTCACTGTCACACAGAGACTTTGATATTCACTGTCACACAAAGACTTTGACACCGATTCGTGTGCAACTCGAATCGAATCGATCGGTCGGCTGCACTGCACGCCTCAGCAATGGCGACGAAGCGAGCGCTCGTGATACTGGCGAAGGGAGCTGAGGAGATGGAGACCGTCATTCCGACAGACGTGCTGCGGCGAGCCGGGGTAAACACCCTCCCTCTCTCACCGTTGTGTTTGTTGCATTGTTGCGCTGTTGACATGTTACAAAGCGCGGCGGGCAACGACGCGATTGTACCCGCTTGCGAATTGCCAATCTACGGCCTATGGGGAGGCCTCGGGGTCGCCTAGAAACTCCGCGGGGCGAGGCGCGGGGGACGCCGGCGGGCGATTGTTGCCTCGCGGGTAGATCGGCCCACGATTTTTTTTAAAACAATTTTTGTAAGTTTAACAAAAAAAAAACTTGCATTAACGAAACGTTGCAATGCAGCGCGACGCTTAAGCGGCGTGCGTTTTAAGAGAGGCTGCCGTTTGAGCGCATTTCGTCCAGGACTGACTTTTTTGCAACAAAATAAATCAGCTGACGGCGGAATTGGGCAGCCCTTCGTCCAGCAGTGGGTTGATGACGGCCGATGGGTTATTGAGAATCGCAGCAGGAACTGACGAGAAGCGTCAATAACCTCGTCTTAAAATGTGTTCATTGTTACTGCACGGTGGCGAGACGTTCACTGCCTCGCCCGGTCTAAGGCTATATTTGGATTCTAGATTTGAAGCTTTCGTGACTGCAAGGATTCATACTCTTAGTTCTTTCGGTAAAGTCACGTAGGTAAAAAATGAAATAAAAATTTATACAAATAAAATAAAAATCACGACGTTTCGGAGGCAACACAAGTCTCCGTCATCAGGTGGGACCGTCACAGCCAGATTTGTTGCATTTCACTTGATGAAGCAAATCACTTGATGCAGCAAATCTGGCTGTGACGGTCCCACCTGATGACGGAGACTTGTGTTGCCTCCGAAACGTCGTGATTTTTATTTTATTTTTATTAATTTTTAATTTCATTTTTTACCTACGGATATATTTGGAGTTTGCGTGTCTCTCTGTCTCTCCCCGTGGTCGTGTGGATTTTTCTCCAGGTCCTCCGGTTTTTTCCCCTCCACATTTATCAGCAACATCACGCGTTTTTAAGAGTGTTTTGGCTGCTATACATTTCCACGTTATGATAAGCAATTTCGTTGAGCTATCATTTGTGAGAGCCAGGGCGCTTCTGAAAAAGAGCTATTACAGTGTTACCCAATGGGGCAGTGCCTGGTAAAATAAAAAGCAGGATTTTAGTTTAGGATAGTTCTAGATTTGAGGCTTTCGTGACTGCAAGAATTCATACTCTTAGGTTTTTTCGGTAAAGTCACGTAGGTAAAAAATAAAATGAAAATTAATAAAAGTAAAATAAAAATCACGACGTTTCGGAGGCAACACAAGCTTCCGTCTTCAGGTGGAACCGTCACAGCACGATTGCTGTATCAAGTGAAGAGAAATTCCAAGAGACCCGACCTTGTATATATACTTGCATATAGGATAGGATAGTTGGTCAAGGGGTTCAAGGACTTCTCGCCCACACTGCGCAGCCAACCCCACGCTATATTTTTAGAGCGATGTAAGTGCTATTTTTATATACACGTACAAAAAAAAACCCCGAGACGATATGGCTGTGACATTTAGCCGGTCCAATGCTCTCGCCCCCCCCCCCCCCCCCAAAAACATTTTGAAATCCTTCGCGGATCTCTGTTCGGGAGTTGCGTGAGGGTGGCCAGTGGGTGGCGTGAGATAGCCGAGTGGCGACGAGAGAGGCGGTGTAGGGAAGGAGGGAGAGAGATTCGAGAGACGTGGGCTGGGTCAATCATCTCAAAATCGGGATCCGAATATTTATTTACCCTGGATAAATCCGATGAGCTATAAAGCTCTTTTTCACAGATGTCCAGTTGGGACAGGTCAGAACGTTACAATGACAAACAGTGCAAAAACACGATGAGAGTGCAAAGTATAGGACAAATCAAAATCCTTATTTAAACTGGAGGAATCCGATGAGCTATGAAGCTCTTTTTCACAGATGTCCAGTATGGGTGAGTTAAATAAAACTAAACTTACGAGGTAAAGCCCACTGAGCTATTGGCTTCTTTTTCATAAGCTACCTGGCCACAAATGATAGCTCAAAGAAGTGGCTTATCAAGTGGAAATGTATAGCAGCAAAATCATTTAAATGATGTAAACGCATGTTTCTAAAAACTGGAGGACCCGGGAAAAAATGTACGCGACCATGGGGAGAGACATGCAAGCTCCAAATATAGAGGCGTCAGGGTCTGGAACCTACGACTCTGAAGTCACTCATGCCTGCCCCAAAAACCAACACATAGCATTTACATCGCCACTTAAATTGACTAAATTCCTTCTCAGGGAATTAAATATCCATTTGACATGTGGCGAACCTCACTCGCATATGCAGAGCGGGTGGAAAAGTTTTCCCGCTCTCGACTGTGCGGACCAGAGGGCACCTGAAGGGATTTCGGAGGTAGCTCTGTGATATCCGCTTCCGCGGGCCGTTCTCTGACATGAAGGGTTGCCCAGCTTTGCGAGAGATCCGCATCGAGACTTTGTCTCATGCAGTCTGGATAAAATTGTGGGAAAAGTGACAATTTAAAAAAAGCTCAACATTTCTCCTGAAATGCATTGCTTCCTGAAAAAAATCCACTTGCTACGCTCTTCCTTGCTCTATGCATCCGCCTCTTACAAGACCTCGCTCACACCCCGCTGACTAAAATTAGGTTCCATCGCCACCACTAGCGCCGCCCTCAAAGTAGGAATTCATTCTCCAAGCAGCACGCTGTCATGAGGTCGGTGGAGCCAGCTCAGCACTGACGTGTGTTATTCTGAGCGCTAGCGGAATGCCACTGCCCTCACGTGCCCTTTTCCGCTCTTCTCCCCCCTTGACCCTCCTCCCTCCCCTCGCCACTGTTAATTACGTAAACCAATTTGATGAGGGAAATATTTGTTAACTAAGCGTTCTGCATTTTTTTCAACGGTGAATTTGAGTGAATAAAAATCATCGAGTGCGACGATGACTACGACTACGTGCCGCCAATGAAAATGCAGTCTTAAGATAAATGAGTAACGGGCTATTGGAGGCTGCAGGAAACCAAACCTGGTAATTGGCTACATATGCATATGACATGCTTCACTGAGCTCACCCATTGGTTGACCTGGTAACATTGTTGTATGTATGTGTGTTGAACTTGTTTCGCATCCATACGTAGCCAATCGTGCTAATCGAAGGTGTGGGGAAGATATTCCTTGGCAATTAACGCCAACGTTTAATAATCAAGGTTGTTTAACAAACTTTTTTGATCCCTTTAAAATGAAACACGCAGACTTTAAGACGTGAGTGAAATTCCACAGGATGTCGTCAACGAGACTTAAGACTACGACTGAAACGAAAAATGATCAAATTACAGTAGATCATCGATTATATTATCCGGCGGTTTCGGGGGCGCCAGATTTTTAAAAACGGCAGATAATCACGTAATTATTTAAAATAGAAAATGTTTGCACATTCTTGCGTAGCATTATGTTTTTAGACGTGTATATGGTTTTTTTTGTGTTTTTAATTTGTTTGCTGTGTGAAATTGATATAAATAAAGATACAAATAGACGAAAACGTATCCTACTGTAAAAAGTAACTGTATTTACTGTACCGTACTTATCACTGCAATATCAAAGACTCTACATGGGGTGATGTACGTGCTACGCTCTTGTTTCAACAACATTTGTTCTGGCGATCGCCGCACTGGTACAGCCTTCGGAGCGTTTTTGCCGGTTTCGCCAGATCGACCCGGGACCGCCGGATAATGTTGGAAACCGGATAATTGCTCGCCGGATAATCGATGATCGACCGTAACACTTTCCTCTCCCCCCCCTCCCCTTTGTGTCAGATTAAGGTAACGCTGGCCGGGCTGACGGGGCCCGAGCCGGTGCAGTGCAGCCGTGATGTCGTCATCTGTCCGGACACCAGCCTGGAGAAGGCAACGGCCGAGGTGCTTTCTCTCTGTTCCCACCATGTTCTTCACTTGATTTCCATCGTCACCCGTGGCCTTCCGTTGGGAGCGCCACGCAAGCCCGGGCCGTGTCGGCCGGTGCGCTAGCTGTCGAGCTGGAACGATGAGTCGATTTGCGATGCTTTATCAATACAAAGGTTGTGGTCCGTTAATTGGGCCCCTTCACAAATGATGGCCGCCCCCACATCCTGCCCCGCTGAAGGTGGGAAACCCCCTCATAAGTTCCGCCCAGCGTGACGCGGCTATTGATGCCGGCGATGTCACCAAGCCCCGTCCGTCACCTCCCATCCAGCAGCACATGTTGGAACAGAGGTGAAACGTTTATTTTCCAACGTTTAATTTTATCCAATTTCGTTGAGTAATCATTGGAGAATATTCGATTATTTAAAGAATCGGATTGCCCAGGGGTCAGCAACCTGCAGCTCCAGAGCTGCACGCAGCTCTCCAAGGACCGCTTCGTAACATATGTTGAACTTCTTTCGCACCGTACGAAGCCAAACGTGTTAATTGGCGGTGCAGGGGAATTTATTTTATAAGGACCGTCTCATTCACATGCATTGGCGGCTCTTGAAATATTACCAAATAAAAAAAAAACGCTCTTATTTTGGTTGCTAACGACTGGGATAGCCTGAATCTGGCCAGATTCGTTGCGATTCCTCCATTGGAACCGCCCCTTCCTACCTCTCCCTTTTCCATTTTACTCGACTGTACACATATTTTCATACGTGCTCAATGGAAGGTAGCGCCTACTACTCTACTGTCCCTGTAGTCTGGAACACCCTCAAAATCACGCGGCAAACACTCTTTTTTTTCTGCATTTTTTGCATTTGTCATCAACATGCTAAATTCACCTGTTGATATGTAAATTCCTTTGTCAAGGCGCTCTCCTCCTCCCACCCAACTTAAAATACGCTGCCAAGCTTAGCAGTGTTCATTAGGATACTGTCTTTCCGACAGCTCTGTTCTTCACCTGAGGACGGCTGCTTGCGTTGTGGCCGAAACGTCGTGAGAATTTTATGATGTTTTATTTTTATTATTTTATTATTTCCCTTCTACGTGACTTTACCGAAAGAACCAAGAATACAAACACTCTTTGTTGGGCATGTATAATGCGTGCCCCCTCGTGTGGATAAAGAGATTCATTGGAAGTGCCTTCAGAAGTAGTTCTGTGAAGGCATCTTCCATGGCCGTTTTTCTTTTTTACACAGGGTGGTGTACCTTAATTTTTATGAAAGTCAAAAATGAAAATGTCTTCATCTCATCATGCTGGTGGAACCACAGGAATATAATGTGGCTTGCCCAAAGTTTTGGAACCCCGCCTAGTTTCGTCTCTTGGCATCTCCATACTGCCATCTCTGTCTTAATTTAAAATCACAAAAATTGTATGTGCGAATGTCATTTCACAACACAATTAGGTTTTTTCATGCTTTGATGTCTCTACGGCCAAGTCGCCCTTGAAAAATAACTTCTCAGCTCAAATGGGCTTCACTCGGGAAATAAACTTCTGATTTTGATCATTGGTGTGAGTGCGTCTCGCTCGAATGAGATGTTGTTGCACAGACGTCCCGATGGACTGTCGTCACCCGCCCGTTGATTCTGTGTCGCTGTGCTGCCGCAGGGTCCCTATGACGTCGTGGTGCTGCCAGGGGGAAACCTGGGCGCTCAGAATCTCGCCGAGGTGAGAGGGAGCGACGGGAGTCAAACAACCGCTTGCATGCGCCTCATTTTCGCTTTTTGTCTCTCCCGTTGCAAAATCTTTGCACACCGCACGAGCCATGTAACGATTTCCCCCCCGCCCGCCACGGTTTGATTCATTATCCCAATTAGAGTGCACGATTTTATTCCAAAATGTATTCTTTATATTAATTGTAGTAAATGGGAGCAATTATAGTTGCTACGGGGGCAGGGGGGGCGAGGTCACATGAACCAATTTTTTCCATCTCGTGTCATCCTCATAATGGAGGGTTGATGCCCAACACAGATGCAATGTTACGAAGCAATCGCTTACACGTTTAATAACACATTCCTGCGGAGGGAGCTGGTAGGAACGTTGGGTTGCTCGGTGAATGGCCAGGGTCAACGGCGGCGTGGTGTATTCCGCAAATATGCCCGACTGTGAGGGCGGGCACAAGCCGGCATGAGTCGGTTAAACGTTGAGTTTTATAAGGGGACCACGGGGTGACCAGCCCCTCCCCACCCAGCCCCACCCCTCTCATCCCCCACCCAGCCCCTCCCCACCCAGCCCCTCCCCACCCTCCCCTCCCCATCCAGCCCCTCCCTCCCCACCCAGCACGACGAACGGACGGACACAATAATCCCCTGTGGGCTGGTGTAACCAGGAGGTTCCTACCAGTAACAGGCCTCATTGAAATAAATTAACAATACACACACGCGCGTCTTATGTGATTGGGCAATGATGGTGACAATCATGACGGTGACATTGATGATGATGATGGCGGCGGTGGTGGTGATGAGAGTTGATGCAAACTAAGTTTGTGGTGTGCAGTCGGCGGCGGTTAAATCGGTTCTGCAAGCCCAGATGGACAGGAAGGGACTTATCGCTGCCATCTGTGCAGGTAATGACGTCTCGCACACACACACGCACGCCATGCATGTGCTGAGTGTCTGCTCGTGTGCAAGTATGAATGTGTGGGAACCAGTGGAGCAACGGTTAGCGTGCTGTACTACGAAAACCGGCGACCTTGGTGTAATTAATTGTCAGCCACAAATAACATTGCAATAAGCTCAAAGATGCCAACCTCAGCCCTCTATGTGCTTTGAAGAAGGGCCATGGATGGAAACGTCTCATATAATATATTTTTTTCCTGTTAAAGCCAAAGTTGCGAAGAAAATGCGTCGATTATTTTTGTCTCTTATCCCTCTGCTTATGCACCACGGCCAATGAAGTGTCACCAAATGATTTGCTTAACATTTCAGTGGCAAATGAAACCTGAAGTCATCCCGAGCCTTCCGTAGGTCGACTCGGCATTTTATCAAGTACCTGCTGCGGTGTGTAAGCATCACGACTCGGGAGGCGGGCTGTTGGGTGTGGGTCCAGCCACACACCACAACCCCCTTGTGTGCCGCGCCGGCCTTGATGGCTGCTCGCTAATGGTACTACTCCAACAGTCTAAACTATTAAACAAAAACAAAAATAATTTTACCAGGTAAAGCCCACTGAGCTATATAGAGCTTTTTTTTTGTCAGAAGCAACCTAGCCACAATTGATAGCCCAACGAAGTGGCTTATCACCATGTGGACATTTATAGCAGCCAAATACTCTAAGCGCTCAATGTGGAGGGAAAAACCGGAGGACCTGGAGAAAAATCCACGCGACCACGGAGAGAACACGCAAACTCCAAATATACAGGCGTCAGGGGTCGGGATCGAACGCACGCCCTCCTGTATATCAAGCGAGGTAGTTAACATCTCCCACCGCGGCACCCAGACTGTTAAAAGCTACACTGGTGATCTTTATCTTTGTGTATGAACGTAATTAAACTGAAGTGGGCCACATTGTGGTCCTGCGTATTCTGCCAAGATCCTGGGTTGGCACCATGTGCCACGAAGCACAATTCTGTCACAAATTTTGTGTCAAACCTGGCGTGGGCTTCTCATCCGTCAACTCAACTTCAAATGAGTAGCTGGTAACCGTGTAGCCAAAATCAACAATCGGGCAAACAAGCATGCATGGTGTGGGCTACACCATCTTGTGTTTGTTGCCAATAAAAATTTTTATATAAATAAACGAAATAAATATTATCTAGATGCTTGCATGCTAGCAGCATGGCTTTTGTCGTGTGCACACTCGATTAAATATAAAGGCGCAGCCCTGCAATTTCTTTCCCACGCCACTGCTGGTGGAGGCACCTCCGCTAGGGACAGCTCTTCGAGAGCCCCTCCAGACAGTATCTTGGCCTACTCTTCCATTAGCAAGCGAGACTTCTCGGAAGACGTGGCATTACCCAAACTTTACCCCGCCTACGTGCGACCTCTGGGTGGACAGAGGCGGGGGGGTGGTGGTGGGGATGTAAATAATCTGCCCGTTGTTTCAGCTGCCTCACTGGGAGATCGAACCGGTGACCTTTGGAATGCAAGTTTTTGTTGCGCTAGCCATTACACCATCTGGAACGCACAAGAATTAATTTTGGCTAAGTATACGCAGCAGAATGTAAAAAATATTGCAGTGAAAGCATTACGAAAAAATATTTTCGGCAGCTGGCTGAATGCGCCAAGGTACCTGCCAAGCTGGGAATTACCAAGGCAGCTTGTAATGGAAATGTTTGTTGGAGCCAAAATAATTATAAAGCTTGGCGAGATAGTCATGCAGGCCGGATGTCCACGGTTCTCAATGGCTTGGACTTAAGTTTGGCTTCAGTGTCTCATGGTGACATGATTTTTAAAGGGGTGCCGTGGTGGCTAGGATATGTTAACTACCTCGCCTGGTATACAGGAGGTCGTGGTTTCATCCCGACCCAGATGCCTGCTGCTGTATGTTTGAAGTTTGCGTGTTTTTCTTTGGTTTTTCCCTCCATATTTAGATTCAACAATGCGTGTTTCAGAGTACTTTGCTGCTATAAATTTATACGTGATGAGCCACTTCGTTGAGCTGTCATTTGTGGCCAGGTCACTACTGAAAAAGAGCTACATAGCTCAGTGGGCCTTACCTGTTCAAATAAAAAATAGTTTAGTTTTTTAGTTTAAAGCCACTGGGTATTTCATCACATAATATAAACCCGGTGGACCGGCGGTGAGCTCGTTGGGCTTTGAACTCGGTGACCTGGGTTCAACTCCAGGCCACGGCTAACCTACAGTGGCGAGCAATATCTGAAAAAGTCCCGTGTGTCCATTGACCAGCCCGCACCGGCCGGCGTGGGGAACTATGGTCAATCAGCCCCCCATGACTGACATGGTGTGTGGGGAGGCCTTCATCCAGCAGTGACTTGAGTGTTACACTCTGGAGTATATGTTTAGGACTACTTATTAATTTGTTTGGGAAATATCTCTTGTTCTTGTGTCCATCCATCCGAAGATGTCTTACTATAAAATGCTGATATAAACCTCTACAATCCTGAGCGCATGGCTTACTGATACCAAATTCTAAGATCTGTATGATGTTTGGGCAAAATAGTTTGTGAGATAATTCCATTCACAGTTCGCTTGTTTAAACACATGCCGCTGCTTAATGTTGGTTTGGAAGGCGCATGGGCTGATGGACATAACTAATATATATTTATTAATGCAGAAAGATGAATAGATGTCTTTATGTTCCATATTTTTCCTGTTGATGTTTAGCACTCGGGTTGAGTGCTACTCTCCACCGATTGACAGTTGTTGATCACAAGATAATCAATTGCCCTAACAGCAAGTACATAGCTGATGAGTTTGACACCTGCCTCTCTTTTTACGTCTCATCGCTCTATCCCTATCTCAGCTGCAGCCACACAACACAGAGCAACGCTGTGATTAACTAAACCACTTTCAAATTGTGCGTCCTGTAGTGGTTTTTAAAGTAATTGGATGCAAGCGACTGTGTGGCTCCAGGGGCTGACCGTGGCCTTGTAGGAGCACCGAATCAGCACATTAAGATCCTGGGATTGAATTTGGCAGTCGCCCAAATGAGCAGTCACCCATGATTAAACCGGGTTCTCCAGAGAAGGGTCTTAGTCGGTCTTGACTGACCACTCACATAAATCACACATTTCAACTTTTCCCTAAATCGACCTTGTCCAGCACAGGGGGGGGGGGGGGGCTACATTTCTACTTTTCCTGTTTTCAATTTTTTTCTGATTTGTGCGATTGGTGTCGCGTCACGGGACAAAGTGTCCGCTCAGATTTCCCGCATAGCCGCGACGAAACCCCTCCATGTTAAGAGATTGGCCCACGGAAGCAGGTGCCATGGGGCTGCTTGTGAGACCCCATTACACAGCACTCGGCAGTACTTTCCCACCGGCTCTGCATTTGAGAATAATGTTCGCCGCATGACAGAAAAAACATTTTTAATTAGCAGAGCTGGAATTTCGATAAATTTAAGAACAAAATTTAATGCGATTCTTCTTGGGTGTCCGGTAATTTTGCCGATCGGGCTGAGCGTCAAATCACAGGCGGCCGCCCTGCATCTCGGTGCTCTGACCTCTAAGCCACCTTCCCAGAGGGCTAACATTTATAAATGTGTCGAGCCCCATTTCGCATGACTGACGTCCAGTAGACCACTCTTTACAAAGGCCGTGATGGAGTGCGGGCCGGTGTTGGGAGAGAGAGACCGCTTGCGGAGATTTGCGGCGACGTGGCCCCGGCAGCAGCGCATTCACCGCTTTATGCGGACGTTTGAATCCGGCAGGTCACCCTGGTTAATACTGCGGTGTGTATTAACAGTTAGGGTACTGCTTCACGGTGACCCTTAAAGATCCCGTGACGCCATTCGAAATGAGTTGGCCATCGTGTGCTGGTGTCATGGTCCACATTTTTGCCAAATCCGTTGTGGGGACGCAATTGTTGCGTGGATGCAGTTAGCATGAGTGACGCTATCTAAAATTCAATGATTATATCATGAGAAAAAATTCCCCGCAAAATCTCGATTGGGATTAGAGGTAGCAGTCGTTGCACCCTCCTAGCAAACGCGAAGGCTCACTTGCAGGCCGGTGCTGGGTCGCCTCGTGCTGCATCGGGACAGTTGCCAATGAGGTTGCTGCCCTTTGAATGTTTGAAATGAGACCTGATGTAAGATGCTTTGAGTTGCTGAGGAATTGTAAGTATTGCACGAATGAAATTATTATTATAACCCTGAGAACATGGTAACTTGACAGTATAGCCATTAGAAACAGCCACAAATTGCGTGTGAGTGTGTGTGTGCTACCCGATGGCTTGGTTCACATAGCTGGCGAGGTGCGTGTGTGATCGTGTGTGTGTGTTCGTGTGGGGAGCGGTAGTGTAGCGGTTAGCGCACTGCGCTATGAACCTGGCGACCCGGGTTCGATTCCCGCTCACGGCCAACACCAGTGATGAATGTCTGAACCAGTCCTGGGCCTCCCCTAGGTCGACTCAGCCTCAAATGAGTACCTGGGTGCGGTATGTAAACATCGCCACTAGGGAGACAAAGGCGGCCCGGGCGTGGGGTGTTTGCCACTCACCAGTCTCCCTCGTGTGCTGTGCCAGCCTTCCTAGGTGCTCACTAACAGCACTTGCCCCAACCGTCTGTTAAATGCTACGCGGGGAATCTTTGTTTGTCTTTGTGTGCGAGTGAAGTGTTTTTGCCTTGGTGGGGGGGGGGGGGTGCTCCTCCTGTGTGTCTCCGCAGGCCCCACAGCACTAAAAGCACACGGCATCGCGTTTGGAAGCAAGGTGACCACTCACCCGCTCGCCAAGGACAAGATGATGGAGGGTGGTGAGTGTGGGGGCGACGTGAGCGTGTGTGCACGTGTGCGTACTTCACGCTCCACTTCCTACAGATTTGATCGTTTGTCTCCGAAGCAGCCAAGCTGATAAAAATTGACACAGTCTCTTACGTCTTTTCACTTATAATATGCTCGTACAGTGAGTTTGATTTTGTTACCCTCCCCGCCCCCCCCAAACATTTTTTTACGTGCAAATATACATCGAGGTACAATTTGATTTCTATCGCCGATTACGTGGCGATTGAACTGTCGTGAGATTTATGTCGAGAGCAGAAGGTGCTTGAAGGGAATTTCCTGCCTCTGTGAGACATCGGTAAGCGCGCTGCGCTGCGAAGCTAGCGTCCCGAGTTCGTTTACCGCTCACGGCCAACGCCAGCGACGATTATCCGAACCGGTCTTGGGCCTCCTCTAGATCACCTCGACCTCAAATGAGTACCTGGCTGCGGTGTGTAAACATCGTCACTAGGGAGACAAAGGCGGCCAAGAATATGTAAATATACATGGAGGTACAATTTGATTTCTGTCGCCGATTGCGTCGCAATTGAACTGCCGTGAGATTCACGTCGTGTTGAGGAGGTGCTTGAAGGGAATTTCCTGCGTCTGTGAGACATCGACTCGCAGTTCGGGGAATGGCCCCTAGAAGTTCGGAGCACAGGATTATTTTGCAATGTATAATGGGGTCCAGGAGTAAAAATATCTGTCGAAATTGTTATTTTATTTTATTGCTTTCAAATGGATTCTCACGATAGATATGTCAAACCGCCTGTGTAAAAGTCGATTTTTTTAACGATCATTTCACCTTGCGTAGAATGGGCTCGCGTGAAACCACTATAGACCGCTACATTCTGCACAGCAAAAACGCACACGTAAAATACTCCACTGAATCGTCGCAATCCTGCATCATAATATTTATATTAATAACGAGGGGGGTGGGGGGTAATGAATCGTGAGTCCCAATTTTGTGTGGTGAAATATGGTCAAACAGCGCTTAAAACGTACACCGCATTGGGGAGGTCTTCATCCAGCAGTGCATAGACAAGGGTTGTACATCTTCTTGGTTCTTTCGGTAAAGTCACGTAGAATAGAAATAATAAAATGATAAAAAGAAAACATAATAAAAGAAAAAAATATTATATTCTTTTATTATTTTATTTTATTATTTCCATTCTACGTGACTTTACCGAAAGAACCAAGAATATGAATCCCTGCAGTCACGAAAGCTTTAAATCGAAAGGGTTGTACAATTATTCAGTATTGTCTCCTTGAACTCTCAGCCAGAAGTGAATAGACATCATACCTGCACTGTGTGCCCGTGAGGATGGGTGGCGCGCACTGCATTATGAACCTAGCGGCCGAGTGATATCTGTCCTGCTGTACTGGCTCTGCCCCTCGTTCCCCGCCCCTCCCCCCCCCTTTGACCAGCACGGTGAAGTACGGTCAAACAACCCTGACGGCCAAAGTGGTGTAGAGGAACCCTCGCTTATCAGTGATTTCGCAAAGGGGCTGTGAATGAGATGATTATGCACCGTGTGTAGTTACTTGTGGAGTCAGCCCAGTGCGTGAGTAATGTATCGCTCGGCACGATACGGAGACCCGCAATGCCCCCGCAAGAGTGGCCACACGTGTACACGTTGTAGCATTTAGAGCTGGGCTGCGCTGGTTAAAGTGAAAACCCAATGTGTATAATAATGGTTATTACTTGTGTGCGTGTAATGAGCCACTCCCCGCAGATATTGGATGAATTGTTATGATTCGGGCTCATGATTTGATTTCAGAATTCCCATTTGTATTGGTTTTCGTTATCATATTTGTATCTTGTTTTTGGTTTGTCTCCGAACCGTTTTTGTCTGTGCCATCAGCCTGAAAGTAGCATTGCATATCAGTTGCACATAATTTACAAAAATTCTAATCTAATTTATATATAATATAGTTTTTTTGTTAAATCGCGTCAATATAAATGTGTCATTAAACCCACCACCACCCCACACAGCCAATTAGTAAGGTTTGTCACGTAAACAGAACGTGCCAATTCGTTACGAGTACAGCACACCGGTGTGTTGGAGATTAGTCCACAACATTTATAATCTGAGTTTGACATTTCACCAGTTATTACAACTAGCTGTCACCTGATGGGGCTAGTTGTAATTACTGGCGAAACATCGTACTCAGATTGAAAATGTTGTGGCTTTGCTCTCCAACACACCGGTGTGCTGTACTAGTGACGAATTGACCACGTTCTGTTTCCGTGACAACCCTTACTAATTGGCTGTGTCGGGTGGTGGCGGGTTTAACTACGCATTTATATTTACACGATCGAACCAAAAAAAACATTATGGATGATATTGGACGCGAAAGCCTCCGTGTTAAACGTATTCATATAACTAATCGGTTCTCACGCACAATCTTGGGATACTGGAGAAAAAAAGAAATGGTCCGATAGTAGACACAATAGAATCAAAGACCTGAATGGTGGTGGTGGGGGGTGGGTGCCTCTCGCCCCGCAGGCCACTACGTGTACTCGGAGGCGCGCGTGGAGCGCGACGGCAACGTGATCACGAGCCGCGGGCCCGGCACCAGCTTCGAGTTTGCGCTCTTCATCGTCGAGGCGCTGCTGGGCGCCGACGCCGCCAGCGCCGTGAAGGCGCCGCTCGTCCTCAAGGATTAGAGCCGGAGGCTCGCGGCGGCGCCGGGCCGAGCGTCATCGGGCGGGCGAGAGGAGAGAGCCGGGGCTGGCGGGCTGGCGGGCTGGCGGTACGGGGCGATGCCGTTGCCTGGTGGTGACGAGCAGCTGTGATGTCGGTAACAACAACGACCACAACAACAGCGGCGGCGGCGACTTCAGTTTTACCGAGGCTGGTGGTGATCGGGATCACAGTGTGTCGGTAGAAAGTAGATATCAACCGCAGCAGCAGCAGTAGCAATAGCATTTTAACTTCAGAATCGCAATCAGAATCTTTATTTAGACTGTTAGGAGGAATCCGATGAGCCATGAAGCTCTTTGTTTGGAGATTTCCAGTAGGGGGTGGTAGGAGTGTAAAGAAGTTCAACGTACTTATGGGAAAGGTAAACATGACACTTATAATAAATCATTAATACTCAGACATTTGTTTTTATGAGTACTAAATTGCTAAAAAAATTATTCCTGCCGATTTTCCAACAATAAATGCAACTTACCTGGGGTATAAATTCTGCAATATAAATACAGTGGTAAACGCATTGTATGCTTGTATATACGTTCAACTTCTTTCGCACCGTACGTTGCCATTGTGCGCCCTACGCCCAATCACCCGAGTTCGATTGCTGGCCGACGTTAACATCAGTGGCGAGCGATATCTGAACCGGTCCTGGGCCTTCATCCAGCAGCTGATTGACACAATCATGTAATAAATAATTAAAAAATATATCGCTTCTCAAAACGCTTTACTGGAGTACCAAGTAAACATAAAACATCGGGAGTACCTTTCGTGAACGGTCATTTTTTTTTCCCCCATTCCGCATGAGTGGGGTATGGCCTGCGCGTGCTATGGCGCATTGACGAGTCACAAGGTTCATTAGCCAGAGGGAGTTAAAAAATATACAACTGTGCGTGACACAGACACGTTTAGTACTCACAGGCATGTTTATCCAGTGGCTGTATGCACATCTCACAGCTATCGCGGCTGTATCACCCGTAGTAGTAGCACATCAATAAATAATCCAAGATTGGTCGTACTGTTGATTTAACCATGAAGATAACCACATTGTGATTCCACTGATTCACTACTTGAGCAAGATATTGGATCGTTATGTGCGAACGTGATGGTGTCTTTTATTTTACAAATCGCTCTCTGATAAAGGCAATCCAAAGAAATGTTTTGACATCGTAAATCGTGAAGCACTGTTATCAGCGATATTCCAGTTCAGTTGTTATGAATGCATTATGAGCGCCTCTGAAATCCCGATGCGTTCACCAGCAATTCCACTGTCGTACATGATACGATCGATACCCACAGGTACTGTCGTGAAAGTTCCTCAAATTGCACTAAAATGAACAATGAATGTGATATAAATATATATACGCTAGGGTTTTGCCCCCCCCACCACCTCGCCCCCCCCCCCACCCTAAGGTAATGGCTTTCAAAAGAGATGTGTGGTTATAAAAAATGTTGGATAACCGACACAAATATTTAGTGAACTGTTAATGATCATGGAAAGCCATCCCCTTTGGCTTTCAGAGTGACATCGAGCGCCAGATTTGCGCGTCGGTGAAAGGTCCCGAAACGTCGTGCTTATTTTTGGTTAAGGTCCTTGCTTTTGTGCCTATCATCGAGAATGGGGAAAATAGCCAAAAGGTTTTTATTTGGATTTTGGCTTCACGATGTGATCCTGGTTCTGTGTGACAATGACAAACAAGTTTAGAAATAAATGTATTGAAAAAACCCACTGTACACCCGTATACGTATTTAATAAAAATAAAAATAAATCACACGGAGATGTTCATGAAAGCCCACAGCAACCGTTGTTTGACGAGTCCGGAAGTCTTCCTGGCTGAGCAAAACTGAGCCGAATTAAAGAGTGCAAAAACAACAACACAAACTACTTGCCTTTTATTTTCTTGCATTAGAATAAACTGTGTGCCAACTGTGACCAGATGTCCTGCAGGGGCGTGTTAGCACGGTTGGCTATGTACGGTGCGAAAGACGTTCTACCTACATTCATACGTGCGAACCTTTTAAAAACATTTAGAGGAATCGCTAGCATAGTGAACAGTTCAATTATATTTGTTAGGCAACATCAGCGCTTTTTGTTTTTTTACATCCTTAACTGCTATCCTGGCTTTGGCATAAACCCCGTATGGAAATCTATAAAAATCAATGGCAGTCGAGATGCAAACATGCATCCACTTGCTCAGAGTGCACCCCAAGCTCCCAGTTATTGCATCAATAAATAATATAATTCAAGTCTTTACCCAGCAGAATCTTACCGGGCCCTTAAGACTCCCTCAGGAGGGTCCTGCTGCAGAACGTTTGATGACAGTCAACTCTCCATAATCTGGGGTAATGAGGGAAGAGGTTGGATAAAACAATAACAGATAATTGCCAAATTCACGTGAATTTTGGTACGAACGTATTTGGCTGCGTGGAACGGGGACATTCGATTGTGCCGACTGTTTTCATTGCTGCGTCTTTTAAAAACGTTACTTGCCGACGTGTTGTCATGGCCATGGGCACAGAATATTTCCGACCCTCGACGAGTGAGGAGCCGCGAACAGCTGAACCGGAGTGCTCGTAAAGACATCTCAATTATTCGTTTGCGAGTCACGGTTATATCCGCGACCTGGATAATCCGTCCGCGGATAGTTGAGAGAGTTCCCTTTTCACGAGGGGATGGGCTCGTTTGTGACGTGCAAATTCTCTCAGCCGTGGATCTCAAGGCAGACACGTGGGGGGGGGGGGGGGTCCTAGGATGTCTCGCTCGTAAATCCTGGTGATGCCGCATAGAGCCACGTTCATCTTGCGGCATCCACTCGAAGCGTAAACTCACTCGCGTGTTGTCAACGTGGTGGGAGTAGGGGGGGAGGGTGCCTCTGCTGCGCCCATCGTAATGCACGGCGCACGCTGTTTATGTTGCTGCATTGCAGCAGAGAGAACTGGGGTTTGTAGACGGAGAGTGCTTGCACCGTTTTCTCCCGTCAGGGCGGCCGCATTGTCTGGCTTGCTGCGGTTGTGCCGCGTAGCTCACCGCTGCATTTTCAGTTCGTCTCCGCGTGTTGTTCGGCACGATGTCCGACGTTTCGCTTGGCGCGCTGGTAGCTTCTTTAGCAACTGATTGGAATTGGGTCGCCGTGGTGACGTGATGTTAACTACCTCGCCTGGTATACAGGAGGTCGTGGGTTCGATCCCAACCCTAACGCCTGTATTTGGAGTTTGCATGTCTCTCCCCCCGTGGTCGCGTGGATTTTTGGTCCAGGTCCTCCAGGTTTTCCCTCCACAATTAGAATCAACACACGCGTTTAGAGTATTTGGCTGCTAGAAATGTACACGTGATAAACCACTTCGTTAAGCTATCATTAACGGCCAGGTTGCTTCCGAAAAAGAGCTACGTAACTCGGTGGGGCCTTACCTGGCAAAAGAAAAAAATGTTTAGCTTCATAGGAAGAAGCCCCTCGTGCGTGGAGGAAAATTGTTGGACATCGTTGTGAGCAACCCTCATGCCACAGGGGTTCAGGCTCCGGGCTATGCTGAGAGGTGAACATTTGACAAAGGGGGTCCCTCATTCCTTTCCTCGCCCGAGGACGATGTCACAACCATGCTTTTACCACTGGTACCACCTTCTCTTTGGTCTGTCTTGAAGCCCATTAACTGCCTCCACAAATCGCTCAAAAAACATTTCTTCTGCCCCTAAGCCCCACCTCATTTGTGCAGCGTCTTAGAGGTGCGGCCACATTTTTCCACGTCTTTCCGCTCTCCCTTCTGGCCTCCACGGAGGCCGCTGGGTTCCACGTGGCTACAGGCCGTAAAGTCCTCCGTCTAAACTCTTGGCTTTGCGGCCGTGTCACTCTTATTTCCGCTGCCTCCAGAATGACACCATCGGTTTCACCGTTCGCACGGACGTCCTCTGCTTCCACTGCCTTCAACGAGATCCGTCCCCAGTTCCTGCGATGCTTGCTTCGGGTTTTACCGCGTTGCTGCTTGGCAGCTGGGAGCTTCAATTCCTGAAGAAGCTACGAGCACGTGGAGCGAAGTGTCGGGACAAATCAAATCGAACCGGTGACGGCTGCATTGTAAGTCCGGTGTGATAACCATTACCATGGCAGCATCGCGTATTTGTGTATATGCTATTTATACAAGTACAGTGTGTGCAGAAGGTGCCCTAATCAACGGCAGTGTTCCACGACAATGACACGTCAGGATCTCGGTGTGCCTCTGTGTTTGGCACTCACCCCGTAGGCGCTAATGAATTCCTGTATTTATAGGCAAGTGAATTATTCCCATCCGCGTGTGCGTCTTGCAAGTGAGGCCTGGGTGCCTAAGAAATTAATCGTTTTGCTTAAATTAATTTTCACGTAATATCATTGACAGGTCATTTTATTTTGCAATTTTGTAAGCCAATGCTTCGGCGCGTGCCGACCTGATTTTTTTTTTCATTTAAAAAAAGTAATTCCTTATCTACTCAGATAATCCTACGTGTGTCTCACGACTCATATTCGTGAATGATCAGCATTGGGATGCAAAACCAATTTCGTTCACAAAATGATAAAGGCCTCCTCCCCAAGCCGTCACCATCACGCATGGTCTTGCATTGCAAAAAAATCAAATCCATCTAGCATCTACACGCGAGCTAATTTCACTGATCCTTGGCTGCCACTCCATCCATTGTCTCGACCACCGTTCTTTCTTGAATGCTGCCACCGTTTTAACTGCTGCGCCTGGAGATTGAATGGAGCCGGCGACCTCTGGATTGCAAGCCCAGGGTGCGGACCATCTCAGAGTAATTCTCTATACTCGAGAAATCCGATGAGCTATGAAGCGCTTTCGTACAGATGTCCAGTAGGAGCGGGGAGGCATCTGCAGTGCAGCCGTTGCAAAATCTCCTGGTTAAATAAAGAGCGCAGAAGCATGGTCACCACATCTACGCCTCTATATATGGAAAGAAACAGACTTCTCCACAAATCTGGCTGTCGCCTGATGAAGCTAGTTGTAATTACTGGCGAAACGTCTTACTCGGATTGTAAATGTTGTGGCTTGGCTCTCCAACACACCGGTGTGCTGTACTAGTGACGAATTGGCCACGTTCTGTTTACGTGACAAACCTTGCCAGTTGACTGTGTCGGGTGGTGGCGGGTTTAACGACGCATTTATATATTTACGCGATCTAACCCAAAAACCTCATGGATTATATTGGTCGCGAAAGCATACGTGTTAAGCCAACGTTTAAACACACTCCTAAAAGGACCGTCTTGAAAAATAATCTTGAGACTCCGTGAGGCGTATTCCATGATTATTTATGATCATGATTTATTATCATTATTTATACTGGCTATGGTCAATACACCTTTCCCTTTTTATGTAAGCAACGACATGAACAATGCTGTCCGGAGCAAATAAAGAGCACCCATTTGTGTGTTGAGTGCACCACAGCCTCGTGTATTATTTACAACTACTTGACCTCGTATCGAGAGTCATTAGCACAAGCTGCAGCCTCAGCCAGGAGCGCGAGTGCATTACGAAAATGAGACTGGAAACGCGTTTGCGACGCGTGCGTGCCCATGGAACGGAGGAGGGGCGATCTGGAATTGTTCAAGGCAACATGTTCTCCTTCGATTTAAAGCTTTCGTGACTGCTGGAATTCATCTTCTTGGTTCTTTCGGTAAAGTCACGTAGAATCGAAATAATAAAAAGAAAACATAATAAAATAATTCTCACGACGTTTCGGCCACAACGCAAGCAGCCGTCCTCAGGTGAAGAACAGGTCTGTCGAGACGATTGTAAATGTTGTCGAGACGACCTGTTCTTCACCTGAGGACGGCTGCTTGCGTTGTGGCCGAAACGTCGTGAGAATTATTTTATTATGTTTTATTTTTATTATTTTATTATTTCCATTCTACGTGACTTTACCGAAAGGACCAAGAAGAACATGTTATCCGTTAGAAACTTGCAGAGCACGACGGATGTTCGATTGATGCCGCACTCTTGGTGCTCATCACCGAGCCACGGACCCAACACTGCACTCACAGAAGGCCTCGCACTGCTCATATAAAGAGCCGTAATTTGTTTGCGTTCACGTGTGACAACTTTAAATGATAAAAAAAACAATTCCCAGTAACGGCTACTGCGTGGGCAAACACATCACCTCCCACGGAGAAGGATCACACAAACTGGTAAAGGTGCAGCCCTGCAATTGCTCGCTCACACCACTTCTGGTAGACAAATCTCCACTGGAGGGAGCTGTAGAGAGCCCCTCTGCGTTACTCTTCCACCCAAGCCAGACGTCTTGGAAGAGATGCGAGTACCCACACTTTACACCACCACACGTGACCCTGCTGATGGACTAAACTATGGCGGGGGATTGAAACGTTTACGTAAATTGACTTTAACGTATGTTCATATGGAGTTGCAGAACGGCATCGAGGGAATGGATCTGGCTGCACTTTGAGGTTTCTTTGTTTCTCAATGTCTGTGAATGGAAGAGGTGAAATTTCCTGCGTTCCAATCCAGACGGCCAATTGTGATCAAACCATGTTCTCAAGGTGACGTGCGCTGATGGTCTCAACCCAGACACCAATGGACTGCACACACAACAACAACAACAAAAAACACATTCAATTTGGTTTGGCGCTTCATCATAATGATCACAATCCATGGGCAGATAGCCCATGGGTGTCTACTGCGCATTTCGTCATTTGTTTCTACTTCCCTCCGTCTTGCGCTTAATTTTGACGAAATTC